CTTGTTCCGCCATTTATTTACTCAAGCTCATTATCTTCTTCTATGTCCCGTGTCCCTTCAGGACGTTGGTGATCATAGCCCGCCACAATTTCCTGTCCTTTGTCGCTCGTGATAAATGTTGTATTTTTGTTATCTATCGTAAACCTTGTTTTGTCTTCAATTTACATAAGCTTGCTAGGCAGTTGATGCGTTCTTCCTTTCCTGCCCCTTTTGCCTTCAATCTGTCCTTTGAGTATCTGATTTTCCAAGCTTTCTTTTTTCATTATATGTCCTAGAAATTCTAACTGTTTCTGATGTTAATTATAAGTGTCCATTTTGATTCCATGTTCTCTAAAACTTCGTCGTTGCTCACATGTTCGGTCCATGGTATTCTCAACATACAACTGTAGAACGTTATTTACATTATTCGGACTATTGTCTTCTTCTTCTTCGGTCTTCTTCTCAAGGATAGATGGCACAGTGGATAAAGGCGTTAGTTAGATCCAGTGACAGGACCCAAAGAGTGTGAGTTCAATACCTGGTTAAGGCAGTGGAGAACTTTGAGAGGGAAATTAACAGAAGATAATTGATAACTGACATCCATTAGACATGACACGTGGAACTAGAACAGTCTACCCCAGTGAGCGAAATAAAGGGTTCAGTTCGACATTCCAACCACCTGAAGAAGGCTGGAGTGTACAACGGCCGAAACGTTGTAATAAATATAGTGACAAAGATGAGGACAATAGTCCGAATAATGTAAATAATGTACATAATACCTCATCTCAGAAATATAGTCAGAAACTGTAGAACGATATCTATTTCAAGTCTCTTCTTCATCTGCGAAGAGGAGACTGCCGAGCATTCATTGCCATAGAGGACGATTGATATTACATAACAGTTTATTTGTTTCTAACGAAAGGTTTCTACTTCTTAATACTTTGTTTAGTTTCTGGAAGGCACCTTTCGCTATCGCAATGCGACTTAAAAGAATCGGTTTTTGTGTTGTTATCATATCAATCTACCGGTTCGTGAAATACCGTATATATTCGCATATCATGTGACTTTTGAAGGCCTAATTTTGAAGTTAATTTTAAGGGGGTCGCATCATACACGAGATATAAAAAAATTAGCGTATTTTTTTTTTAAGCAAATCACCCCAAGCAAGGCGGGAGTGCCACTACCACGCAAGGGGTTACAGAAAGTGAGCGTAAGAGTAAAGAGGAGTGTTTGGGAAAAGGATAAAGAGAAGGGCAGTGATCAAGGTTAAGGCATCAGAAGATATCGATTGACATTACATTTTAATATTTAAAGATTATAGCTCCCAGGAAAGCAAGTGATAGGAAGGGAGTTCCACTGACAGGAGGTGCAAGATAAGAAGCTGTTGGAGTAGAAGAGATGGCTACATTTAACCTTTTCGACAGTGAAAGGGTGCGATGCCAACCTAGTATAACGCTTAAATTCATGCAGTTTGGGAACCAGGGAAAGTAGCTCGTCGGAGCAGTTGCCATGAAAGTACATGTAGAAAAGACAGAGGGAAGCCACAGCACATCTGTGAGAAAGCGACTGCAGACGGGATGCCAGATCAGGATCAACCACATTTCATGTCCGTCTCTGAATTTTGTTGAGGATCTCGAGATGAATAGCAGGAGCACCAGACCATATATAGCAGCAGCATTCCACGCAAGGACTAATGATTGATTTGTAGATTTGAAGGCTGGACAGGCGAGAAAAACCTCCTGGCGCGACACAGAGAGCCAACTTTCCTTGCGATAGATGAAGCTATAGATTCAATGTAGTTATTCCACTTCGGGTTAGTCGACAGCGTGAGACCAAGCAGGCGCAGAGAGGCGCTCTTGTGGGCTTGGGTATCAGCCATCCTGATGGGAAGCAGGGAGGGTTCTCTATGGTGAGTAACTGAGAGCAGTTTCGCTTTAGAGGCATTCAAGTTTACAAGCCAATTCCTGCCTCAGTCAACTACAGGTTGTAAGTCTTTCTTGAGGCCTACGGCCAGGTTAATTTTGTCAACGATGCCGGATCTACTATTAAGGCAGGAGTAAATAATAGTGTTGTCAGTATAGATGTCAACTTGGGAGTTGATGAAATCAGGATGATCGTTGATGAAGATCAGAAGCAGTGTAGTCCCCAGGATATAGCCTTGGGGAACACTAGCATTCATGTGAAAGGAACTGGAGGAGAACCCGTTTAGGATGACCTTCATTTCACGGTTTGACAGGAATTATTTTATTAAGTCAAATAATCGTCCTGTAATGTCGTATCCCAGAAGCTTATGAAGAAGGTCAGCATGCCAGACCCTATCAAACGCTTTAGAGATATCTAAAGCTACGGCTCTGTTATTGTCAAGTGCTTGGTATATAAATTCAGTTATATTCGTGAGCACGCCAGCGGTGAACTGGGCAAAGCGGAAACCATATTGCTTGTCTGAGAGTAGATCATGGGATGTAAGGTGTTTAACCACTTCGGCGTTGATTAAAGATTCGAAGACTTTGCCGAAGATTGGTAGGAGACTTACGGTAGTTATACGGGTCAGAAGGGTCACCAGAGTTCTTAAAGACAGAGACAACAGATGAGGATTTACAACAGGCTTGAAAGCAAGAGTCAGTAAGGCAATAGTTATATAGTTTGGAGAGGACTGGTGCCAGTTTAGGAGCACATTTCTTCAAGACAACGGCTGGTATCCCGTCGCCGCCACTAGCCTTATGGGCGTCTAATTTGAAGACGATGTCCAAAACTATCGATGGGGTTATGTTTATGTCACTCAACAGATCCTCAGTTCTAGTGAGAAAATCAGTTATGTGCTACTGGCACTGGCTACGCCGTTGACCAAACTATATATCCATTTACTGTGATCAAATTAGCTTCAAAATTAGGTCTTCAAGGGTCGCATGATACGCGAGTATAAACGGTACATAGAACTGATTGACGCGCATAAAAGTGTTGAATTGGTGAGTCCTGCTTAGAAGATAAAAGTGTCTATACACTGAATTTAGGTGACTGTAAATGCAAAAAGCAGGGTTGCATTTAACTCATTTGTAGGATCAAGATGGTGACTATTGATTTTCGAATATGCTTTATATAGTTACCCTTATATAGATACTTGCAAAAATTCGCTAAAAAATGAGCATCCACGATGAATAAATGTCCCAAATTTAATAAAAACAAAGTTTCATCGTCAAAATCTTTGTTATTATTAAGAGGAAAGACCAAAGGATTTTTTTTATTATTAAATTGTATATTTTTTTATCCTTTTAAGAACGTTCAACATTTTGGTTAGAAATGTTGTATGTTTTTTTTGCGTCAGTGGGTGACCATAAATTAGTCTGGGAAATTTGAAGGTGTTTTTGCTCTGAAAAAAATACATTGATTTAGAAATTCTTGCAAAAATCAGATAATTGTTGGAATTTAATGAAGCTTTCAGGAATTATTCATAAATGAATGAAATTTTTAAGAAAATCTTGATAAAAATATATTTTTACATCTGTTTCCCCCCACCCACTTAATTAATTTTAAGAAACTCAGTTTTGCTTAATATCTACAAAGTTATAAGGACAAGTCCTTAGAGCATTTAAATCATCAAATCTTTTTGCCAAGCAGAGTTTCCAGTTACCGAAATTCGACTCGAAATCGTAAAATAAAAAATGCAATAAAACTAAAACATTATTTAATTGTTTTTTAAATACTTTTATGAATAATAATTATTATGGACACTATTGTGTTAAAAACAAATTTCATTCGGTGACTAATGAATTTTTACAAAAATAGTTTTCATTTTTTAAAAATTTTTATTACAATTTTATTACAATAATGTGCAAAGTTTTAAATCTTAAAACTGCATTCATTTGTAATAAGAAAAAAAAATTTTACAGTAATTTTAAAAAAAGTTTGATTTGTGCGTTGCAATTACTCGCGTTTAATAGAAATATGAATCCATTTATTCTTTTCGAGTTTTTTCCGCGAAAACTATTGTGTGTGTGTGTGTGTAACAATTAATGTGTGTGTTTGTGTGTGTGTGTGTGTGTGACAAATGTCAGATTTTTATGATACGGACGTTTATAATCGACATTATCAGAAAATAAAACCGTTAATTATATTAAATTTACAATTTGTTGATAATTTTATTTAATATTTCCCCAATAAGCGTATTCGTACGTAAGACAATAAAGCCAAAATACCTAAAGTTCAATAAAATATTAAAATATTTAAAATTTTTAATATTTCTGGGTAGTTAAAGATTATATAAAAAAGTATTTACGTCGTATTCGTCAAATAATTTATACAGTTATGGGCCCTTTATTAAAAATGATAGACATCGGATAAAATCTTATAAAACTATCAACCTTTTGTAAAAAAAATTCTTTTCAAAATGATATTTTAAAGTAAAAAAATTGACAATATTTGTTTTAATTAAGATTAATTAAATCAGTTAATCTTCCTCAAATGAAGTTTTAGAAAAACATTTTTTATTTTTGAAATATTTTTAATAAAGAGAGTTATGTTGTGTTGAGAGATTTGTCAATGCGGTCATGATCAAAATAATTTCAATCTAAATTGATTGGAATTATTTTATTTTTCGGCTTAAAATAGAGCAAAGTATTTTGCTTATGAGAAATATTAAATGTAATTTATTAGCTTGGACTTAAAACTAAAAAGCTTCAAGAAATATTTTCCTTTTTAAAATGCATTTTAAACCTTGCCTTTTTTGGAGATAATTAGTTTTCAAGTGACATGATTCTCGAAGTCAGCTGAGCGCGCCAAAAATGTATTGCTTCAGTTCTGGTCGGTGAAAGTGATGTTTTAATTTGCGTATATTTTTTAATTTTTTTTTTATTTACATGTAAAATGTAATACAAAGCCCTTTGTCATTTGATACTTCGTTCCGGTCGAAACCGGAGAAGAGTCTCAGTCGAAACTGGAGAAGACTTCCGGTCGAAACCAGAGGAATGTTTTGTGGCAAAATCTTTTCGCAGTTTTGAAAGCGTTTTTCTGGTTTTTATTTTCAGTATCTCGAGAAAAGATTCTGCAAAGGCGTACGACTTTTGGGTTCCACTGTCTACTGCACCATGATGGTAAGTATTGTGTTCTTTGTTTATGTGAACAAAAAATTGGGATCATTTAAAAAAAATTAAATCATGACAAATAGAAAGATAATAAGATTGTTTGGTTAATTTGCAGTGTAACACCCGCATTCAGTTTGCATTAAAAATTTCCAGAATACTTACATTATAATATTAATTGTACATGCTATAAATTTGAATCAATTTTTGAGAAATTTGATAAAATCTACCGTTAACCGGTAGTTTCTGTCTATATTTTGAGATGAGGTATTATGATTACATTATTTACATTATTCGGACTATTGTCCTCATCTTTGTCGCCATATTTATTACAACGTTTCGGCCGTTGTATCGCTCCGGCCTTCTTCAGGTGGTTGGAATGTCGAACTGAACCCTTTATTTCGCTCACTGGGGTAGACTGGTTCTAGTTCCACATGCCATATTTAATGGATGTCAGTTATCTCCTGTTAATTTCCCTCTGAACTGTTCTCTTTGGGTCCTGTCACTGATCTAACCAACGCCTTTATCCACTGTGCCATGTGTCCTTGAGGACATCTGTGTATGAATTTCTGGGTATTATAAACCTAATGTCTTCAGCAACCATTTTTACCAGTGCTCATATTGCAATTTTTTTGCTGTTATCATTTCATGTTTTTACCAGAGCTCATATTGCAACTTTTTGTTGTTATTATTTTTTTTTCTCTGGCACTCCTTATTACTGGTTTTCCCATATTGTATTCATTTCTATGCTTGGTCGGCTCAGGAGATTTTTGTGGCCTAGCATATGTGCTGATTCCTTAAGTTTACGAATTTTCCAATGGTGTTCTTTGTCTATGATCTCAACCTGATCCCACAGGGGGCGGTGATCTCCCTTCTCTCTCCATATGTGGTCAGCCACGCTTGATTTTTCCACTTCCCCTTGTGTTACAGCTTTCTGGTGTTCTTGAAGCCTTACCTTAAGGGGGCGGCCCGTCTCCCCTTTATATTTCTTTCCGCAGCTGCACAGGATAGCGTACACACAGTCTTTAGTCATGTTCTCCTCTATGGGGGTCTTATTCGGGAGAGATATCTGCGAAGTGTCGTCAAGCTTTTGAAGGTTGTCCTGATGTTATATGGACCGCAGATCCTTTGTATTTTCTCTGATAAACCTTTCACATAAGACAGGCAGACTGTTTTCTGAGTGTTGTTGTCCTCCTCGTTTTGTACCCGCCTATCCCAGTTCTTGGCGGCTGCTGCCACGTACCCAGGATAGTTGTTATATTGTAGGGTACTACTTATACTGACCAATTCTTTATCTAACGTCTCTGGGTCGCCACTTATGACTTTTGCTCGGTGTTGTAAGCAACGGGCGATCCCTTTCTTTACGCTGTATGGTTGGTGGGAGTTGAAATTGAGGTACTGTCCGGTGAATGTCGGTTTACGGTATAGAGATGTCTTAAACCCATGCTTTGTTCGAGATATTAGAACATCCAAGAATGGGAGTGTGTTGTTACTCTCTTTCTCCATTGTGAATTGTATCGAAGGTCTTATTGAGTCCACATGGTTCAGTAGAACCTGAACATCTTCCTGGTGTGGCCAGAGTATGAAGGTCTCATCTACGTACCTTAACCATATAGTTGGCTTTAGAGATATAGATTCTAATGCCATTTCCTCAGAGTATTTCATGTATATATTCGCCATTGCTGGTGATAATGGTGAGCCCATTGCTAAGCCCTCATCCTGTTGATATATGTGTGATCCCATTCCAACACACTTCGGACGGAGTAATATTCATTTGATCTTTGTTGTCAATATCAAAGCATCACCATCGCGTCAAATCCTTCATTTCTCCGAAATGATCACCCAGGTCCTCCACGGTCTAAAGTTTAAACTCTCTCCAATGGTCTTAATTAAACAAAAGGAACCTGTGCACGTTTATATGATATGACACCTGCTTACTATACTGAACCTTATTTCTTTATATGTCACACTCTACAGCTCAGATACAGACGGTGTCTTGGTAGGACTGTTGTTACATCACAAGATGGCCGAAGACGTTGAAAATGATATTGGAATGTCTACTATCCGCTTAGTATGTTTATATTTGAATATACGTCAAAAATGTAAATTAAGAACTTTTCTTCAAACAGCAATGATTTTTTTTCATCAGAAAAAAAAGAAGGCTGTAGATTAATTTAAATTAAATTGTCTTGCCATCCATTCGTAGTTGTTGTGATTTCGATCGTCATTGGGTTTGTTAATTTAGCCTGTCTAATATTAAAATTGGACGACAACAAACTATTAATGTACATTTGTAGGTTCGATTAAAAGAGACTGGGGAGAATGGAGATCAAGTGACAACATTTTTTTTAAAAAATAACGACAGATACTCAATGAGACAAAAAACCAAAATTTTTTTTTATTAACGTTAAAAAGAAAAAAAATTTTATTATGTTTTTAGCAATGCAAAATTTGGTGGTTTTGTGTGATTATATTTGAAAAGGGAGTAATAAATTCCTGGACAAGTAACTATTTTTTTTTAAAATAAGCCTCCATTTTGTTTATGTTTAGGAAAAAAGATCAAGTTTACAATCAATATCGATCAAATAACATGAAATATTTCAAAAAAATGCCAGCGTCTACAAAACTCATCCCAAATTTACAAGGAAGAATTTAACAATAAAATTTTTGCTTTTTTTCGAACATTCTTAAATGGCTATATTTAATTTAATATTATAAATTTATATAATGTTCATAATAGTTTTTATGAGTTGAATAAAAGTTTTATCGAATAAATTGAAAATGCGTTCATGCCTTCATGGTATCAAAAAAATTTTTAGAATAGTCATTATTTGTCCATTTTCAAAGAAGTTTATCGGTCAGGTTTTACAAATGTTTTGGTTCCCGTTGCATCTGAACTCTTAACATGGTTGTTGAATGATTTTTTGAATTTAGAAAGGTCGACTCTTATTTACCCGAAAATTTTTGGTTGTCAAAACAAGGATTTCAGCTTTTAACCGGCTCGAATAGCCATTGGTTAAAAAATCACGTTTATCAAAACAATTTATGGTAGTAGAAAGACACTACTGTCTTTATTTCCTTTTCCTTCACCTTCAATTGACCCCCCCTCCTTAGTCAAGGAGCTTTTCACGAAGGGTGGCATTGTTCAGGTTTCAGTAAATTATTTTATTACCTTAATCCTTTCCACCCCCCCAAAAAACTACCAAGAGCTGAAATTTACTCAGAGAGAAGAAAATTAACAATCCATTTAAACACATTATATTGATAAAGAGATTTTTTGTTGTATATCCAACTTTTGAAAGTCTTTTAAATCTAACATCGTTTAGCTTTGTTCTAAAATTCTGTAGCAAAGGAGAAACAAATGCCAATCTTTCTCAACTAAAAGTGATTGTTAAACAAAAAAAGTAAAAAGATAGAAATAAACAGTGACATCGTTTTCTTTTCTCTCATTTGAATTCATCTTTACATTTGAGCCTTAAAAGCAATTATCATTTTTCTTCAACATGAAGACATTTTTTTCTTTTCTTCTTATTTTCAGATTATGTACATGTCTATTGTGCTTTATGGACCATCTTTGGCACTCAATGCAGGTAAGAACGAATTCAAGATGTTCATTAAACATAATTTAAATGACATTACTGAGTTTGTTTTTAGTTTTTAATTAAGGGATTCCAAACATCACTGTAATTTGTATGTGATAAATTCATATCTGCAATAAAAATCTACCAAAATTTGTGTTTCAAATTTATTGATTCTAACATTGAAAAAAAAAAGAAATAATATTTTAAAAACTTTAAGTAAATTTTTTTACTTTTTTATTTAACTCATTCAGAACCTTAGCGCTGAAAAATGTATATTTTATTATATGGATTATATAAACGAAAGAGGAAATACTAATCAATAAAATTTTATTATCAGAATTTTCAACAGCGAAATGAGAACAGTCTACCCAGTAGATTAAATAAAGTTTTCGAGATCCCTTGATTGTTATCTGTTTTAACAGAGACCTGAAGAAAGATGCAGGGCATAACGGCCGAAACGTTGTGATATTAACAACAAAGATGATGACATCAGCCCAGATGTAAATAATATCAGGATATCTCCGCATTCCATAAACCACTTTACACTCTTCGGTTTTTCTCAGATGCTGTAATCTGCAAAAAACTTTCAACAAACTTTTATTTTAGTGCCATTGCTTCGTTGTTTGCTATGTTTTTGGCAAATTCAGTTGGAAAATTCTAAAAGTAATAATGCAATTCAGATTAAATTACTTCTAAAAAAATGAAATTTTAAATTAAATGAAAACAGAAAAATTTTGGAAAAAAAATATATAAATGAAATAATTTTCTCAATGTTGAAGATTAATGAATGAAAAATACTCCCGAGTCAAGATGGAAATCAAAATTGGTAGAAAGAGAGGCCAAAATGAAAACAACCTAATTTGATGACAACTAAGAGACCATCCTTTAAAAGGACAGTATTATAAAAGGTTTACACTTGATATGGCTGTTGGAAGAATAGAGCTCACGAGTAAACAGAATTATCTTAAAGAAATGTCAATTTCGTATATCTGACTCAAGAGATATTTTGAAACAATTTTTCTTGACTGGAAAAATTTACGCAGAAAAAAATTTCGCAAACACTTACGTGCTTCCATATGATAAAACAAGTGAACAAAAAAAAAATGGTTTCAAATGTTTCAAAATGAATGATGTAAATTTTGAATACGAAATTATCTGAAAAAAGTGATTTTCCATTAATTCCGCCTGATTTCCTATTTTTTGGAAAATTTTTCCCAAGAGATAAAGTTTCCTTTAGCAACGGTGTTTTCGTATTTGGGAATGCAGAGATTGAATTTCAGTCAAAACGTTCATAGAATTCTTCTCTTTCTTTCTCATATTTTTCTTTTTATTTGATCCCATTCATAAACATGAGGTACAGTCGATTGATTTCGATTTATCTGGGGTTTAGGGCCATATCACGTTAAAACACCAGTTCTCGTATAATCAATCAAGTTAAGAAATTAAAATTTTGGTCATTAACGGGTGATTTGTATTAAAATACCAGATATTATAAGTTTGGATTGGCAAAATTTAAAGCGGTTAAATGGCCATATTGTTTTTAATCGTTTTATCCCAAGCACGGTGATAAAGTCACTAAAACGCAGAGGGGGTGTACAGGGGATGAAATAATGAGAAGACTTTAGTGGAGAGGAATGAAGAAAGGACAATAAAGGAACATGGTTAAGGAAAACAGAAGATGTCGATGGACATTGCATTTAAATTTTTGAAGATTGTAAGTGGAAGGAAAGCAATAAATCGGAAATGAGTTCCACTGGCGATAAGTACGAGAAAAGAAATCGTTAGAATAGAACATACAGATGCATCTAGCTATTTCAGCAATAAAACAGTGAGACCTAGTTGCCAATCTAGTATCAGGCTTAAATTTATGTAGATGAGGTAGTAAGGAAAAAAGCAGTTAAAAATTGTAGAAAAAACAGATGGAAGCCATGTTACATTGGTGAGAAAGTAAGTCGAGATGCTTGGCCAGGATTGATTACATCACAGACAATTCTTTGAATTTTGTCAAGAATCTCTAGATATACAGCAGGAGCACCAGACCAGATATGGCAACATTATTCACAATGCACGAATCAATGGCAAATTTATAAACGTACAAGATGGATTCTGATGAAGGCGCAAAGTGTTGCTCTTCTGGAGGTTAGTATCAGCCATAATGACGTAAAACAGAAGAGGTTCTCCACGGTGATTAAATGATCTGTTTAACACGGTGAAATAATGGTTCTCGTACGATCATCAAAGTTAAGCACCGTCGAACCTGATCAGTACCTAGGCGGGTGACAGTTTGGGAATACCAGGTGCTGTAAACTTGGATGTGCGGCTGTATAAAGCGCTTACGGTCATACCGCAATGAAACGCCGTTTCTAGTAAGATCACTGAAGTTAAGCAACGTCGAGCCTGGTCAGTATCTAGATGGGTGAGCGCTTGGGAATACCAGGTATTGTAAGGTTGGATGTGCGGGTGGTATAATGGATAATGACTCGGAATCGAAATCGGAGATCCGAGTCCCAATTCCAGTCGGGTTGCTTATATTCACTTACGCGCAAATAATCTAGGGAAAGCTATATATACCCCTTTCTCACCCTGCTATGGGTTATTTTGTAGGTCGTGTTTCAGTAAATCATTATTATCTCCCAAAGATTCTTAAAATCTAAAAACATTTTCTGGCTTTAAATAACCTGCGAAGGGTTGATAACCCGCAAAAAACAAATGAGTAAATTAATCGGTTTAATGATGCAAGTAACGATCATAATATATCATATCATAAAGAGCATCATATTAATTAAATACGGGGTGGGGGCAAGTAAAGAATTATAGAAATGCAAGCAATATATATTGCGTATTGTATATATTTTACATTGAGCACTGTGTATATGTAATGTATTTTGATTACTTGTAATATAAAACGGTCTACAGGGCACGATGGATAAATTGCCGTTTAAATGACGCAAAAATAAAAATACCACTGACATCTCGTTTTAACAGATGTATTTACGAAAATTACACAAAAATATCTTGAAATACTAAAGAGTAAATTTATTCAATGAAATCTCCATTGGCTTCAACCACAGCCTCCAGACGACTTTGGAATCTCCTGCACCTCTTTTGGAAGGTCTCCTTGTTTAAGTTGGTGAATGCTGCCATAATCCTTGCGTACATTTCATTTTTGGTATTAAAACGAGATTTGTTCGTCTCTCGCTCAACTTGTACCCCACAAATAATAATCAAGGAGGTTGCAATCTGGGGTGTTAGGTGGCCAGGTGTAAAGGGTGATGTGGTCGCAGAAATTATCTGACAGCCATGACTGGGTGTAGCAAAGTGCAGAGTCCTGTTGCCAGACATAGTGTCTTCTATTAGCCACCCACTTCACCCAAGGTATCAATACTTCCTCAAGGCACTTGATGTAGGCCACCGTATTGAGTCTGAAGCCCATGTGGGAAGATGAATGGTGGTATAACGTTGCCATCACTTGTGATCACTCCAAACACCATAATGTTGGCTGGATATATCATCCAACTCAACAAATTAACCAACAATTTCGACGGGTTTTTTTCTTATCAGAACGATCAGAGTGAGTTTCCCCGAGTTGCTGTACATTCATAATCGCCATTAGACTCATCTAACCCTTTTTGAATCCTCTGCACTGTCCTCAGATTGACACACAAACACTCTGAAATGTTCGTATTGGAGCTTCTGGCGACAATGCCGAGCAGTAGAGCATGTTGTTTCTAAATTTCTGGCGATGTGAATTGCGTCATGGTGCTTTTTTTTCACAGACGATGCCCAACTGGCCCTACTCTAGTGTGCAGTCGACAAATTCAAAAAATAAATAACGCCCATACGCGAAATTAAAATAAAAATAGCGACAATTTTCCCATCGCATCCTTTGTATTATATATATATATATATATATATATATATATATATATATATATATATATATATATATTGAGTATGACAGCAAAATTGTCCAAATCGTTTAACAGTAAAATTGTCAAATTGTTAGATTAAGCTCTGGACCGTTGTATCTTAGAAATGATTAAAGATATCTTACTGGAATTCTTCGAGGTTTTTATAACATTTTTGGACTCTACTTTGAACAATATAAAATGCAAAATTACTTTCTAAGCGTAACAGAAGAATCGTGATGAAATCGATCAAAAAATTTAAAAATGACATGTTCATCATTAATTAATCATAGCTAAGGAACGGAAGTTCATGAAGTAGTGAAATATAGTTCATATATATATATATATATATATATATATATATATATTATTCCAGGATCATTTTCCAACATATTCAAGATGTCCTCACCCTCTCTAACCTTCTAACTTTCTGTCCTGGAGTAACAAGATGCCTCACAGGTTTCACGTACGATTTCATTTTCAAGTCTTTTTTCCCTGCTGTTTGGGCTGTCATAGCTGAAACTCCTCTATCATGTGCCAAACATCTTATGAATTGAGTTGGATCCTTTATAATTGATCTCTTTAGTTCTAAGTTGAAATGATGATCCCTCTTCCAGCTGTGACCTACTGATCGAGTTTTCCTCTCTATTTTCCCTCTTTTTGAAACTTATTCAACGTTCTCTTGATGGTTCTTGAATAGACTTTGATGGAAACCAGTGTATGAATTTTGGTACCATTACTGAAGGCATGAATTATCTTTTTCCTCTCACCATTGCTCACTTGGCAAGACAGTAGGTCTGACACAAAACGATTTAACCTATTCTCTTTTTAGCTGAATAAATGTGTTTTTCAGCGATTCTTATGTAAATTGGTGTCAAGATGGCTAAACGTCTTATCTGAAAAACTAGAAACAAAAAACTCATTTTAGTGGTTTTTTTTTAGATATTACACATTTTGTGGTATGAATAATTATGCTGTTACACGATTTAGACAATGTTACTGTTTGTACGCAGTATATATACAGAGTATGCCAAAAAATGTATCCACACTTCAGGAAAGGAAAGACTTGTTTTTGTTTACTATTGGGGACTCTAAAGGATGTTGTGTATCGCAGAAAACTGAATACTTTGGCGGCCTTAGATAAGAAATAGAAAATGCAGGTGCAATAATTCCACTCGATTCTTTGAACAACATTGTCCAAGGATTAGTTCTCCGTACTAATAAATGGCTAGAAGTTAAAGGCCACCATTTTAAGTATCTCTTGTGATTGTAGTGTCCAAAAGTGACTTGTATTAATTTCGTGATGTTTGAATAAATTTAGTATTACAATATCTATACAACTTTTTTTTCCTTTCCTGAATTGTATATTTTTTTTTTATTATATTCTCTCTCTCTCTCTCTCTATATATATATATATATATATATATGTGTGTGTGTGTGTGTGTGCATGTGCGTGAATTTAGGCAGCAATTCTTCTTTCATGCACATTTCAAGGAATACGACAGACAAGGTACTTTTATTTATTTTTTTATACAATTTTTCATGTGATCTAATTTTTTTTTCTTTTCAGATGATAAATTATATAAAAACTGTCCGAATGTTCTTTTTACACGGGCGCTTTCGGCTATACATTTAGCCATTTTCAAGGATTAAATATTTTAACTGTTAAATAAGAAATAGTTTGTTGCATGTATGTATTTATATAATGTTTTCATTTTCAAAACATGGTCAAGATAGTGTGTCCATGTTCATAGTTGATATTATTGAGTGTTGCTTATTTTGTTTTTATTAATAAGGCTTCCATTATTTTTAGCCTTTTTTTGCATATAGATGATGCTATTATATTTGTGTTGACAGTTTTTATATGATTTATCACCTGAAAAGAAAAAAAAATTATTAGATCGCATGAGAAATTGTATAAAAAACTAAAAAAAAATGTCTGTCGTATTCAATGAAATATATATATATATATATATATATATATATATATATATATATATATATATATATATATATATATATATAAAGAACAGATGATATTTATAATTCAGAGTTCTTAGCTTTTATTTCTATTTTTAAAAACAGTGCTCAATTGGATCCGTAAAGCTTAGTATTATAATTATTTAAAAAAAAATATGAATCCATCGGGACACAGAACATACTCTGTTTCAAAATGGAAAACTCCAAATCTAGATTAATTTTAAAAATGAAATCTACAATACAGAGTTTCGTTTCATTATCCCATTATCATGGAACGAAAATGTATTGTAAATTTCATTCAAATATATATATATATATATATATATATATATATATATATATATATATATTTTATTGTTGTATTAAAATCGACAAAGATGAAACCTTAACATTAGAAGAAATATTCTTCTTATCATTATTACAAAAGAAAAGTCAATCTCGGAAAGCAATTATTCAACTGAAAACCTTTACATTAAAGCGAACACGTTAATAGTGAGTCCTGATAAAATAAAATATAAAACAAAAAGAATTAAAATTAAAATAAGGCATTTGCGCTTTCCTTTAAAACCCTTGTCTCTTTATCTCTCTCGCTCTAAACTTCTCTTTCTCTATTTCTCTCAACTTACGAGAAGGTAACCCTCAAATAAAAAAAAAAAAAAAGAGAAAGAAGAAGAAAAGATTGTACCCTTTCAAAACACCAGAAGCTTACAGGAGCAGTGCTTACTTATTTGTGACTAAAAATACCAAAAATCAGGGAGGCTCCAGGTATAACTTCCGTTATAAAAAAATGAAAAAGAAAGGAACGCTATAAAATAAAATAATGACAAAAGGAGATTTTTTGATGTTCACGCCAAATTCTCGAGCCTATTTAAAGGACATAAATCCTAACATTTGGAGACCAGAAAAAGAGAAATGGGACTAGAAGTATAGCAGGTTAGGACGGAACAAAAGAACGCTACTGCGTAGAAAGCAGCCATAGTAACATGTGAAGAAGCAGTTAAGAGGTCACTGGCTACTGACATTTCTGCCCTGTTTCTGTGCCGAAAAGAACACAATAGATTGACATTGACCTAATTTCTCACATTACTACTACCACTACCGTGGTCTTACTCCTAAACAACCACTAACAGACATTTCTCAAGGCTGCTATCAATATCCGCTTTATTAACGAACTTTTGCCAAGGCCGAATACCAAAGGACTCACTCATCACTCTAAAGAAAATAAACAAAAATATATTATTTATTTTACCCTTGATTCAGTTCATTTTATTCCTAAAGTTTCCCATAAAATAATTATCCTACTAATTATCTACACTGACAACGTCCTGAAATGACTCCATAAAACACACATTGACAAACATTAGACATAATTCTGTTCGTTTAATTTTCAGTGACAAATTATCGAACGGTTTGAAAACGTAAATTTCTTAACTTGGCCTTTCTCAAGGATTCACTGCTGTTTATTGCATATAAATTTGTGTTTTATTACTAGTTACATACTTCGAATCTTTGAAAATATCTGCTCGGTCGTTCTCAGGATCAAGAAACAGAGGAGGAAGAACTGCAACGCCATGCCATTGAGCCCAGACCAAACTTTCAGCTGCGACTATTGCGACGTACAAACGTACCTGCAATCAACGTCTACAGACTCCCGGTTGACGTTCGTTTTGGAAAGCCAAGCCATGATGATGACGACATACTTCGATATTTATCAAGTTCACTGTCATATTTTCACATCAACATATAAATAATGTTTTAAATAACGCCAGATTAAATTTATCAAGTTTTATTACCTTTTAAAGTCATTTATGTCTGATCATGAAAGTTTTGAATTTGGTTTTATTTTAATGTCGGTCACAATTCTATTTTGTCATATGATTCTGATTATTGTCTTTAGGCTTCACGATTAATTGTCCTGATTAACAGTTGCAAAAATCACATGTACAATCTACAGTCATTCATAGAAAATAATGTTTATAAGTAGAAATGAATTTACAAAGAAAAGCAAAGTGAAAGGCCAATGAAGTGAACGCCCCTGAAGTCTTGTACAGATTCTTCCAAAAGTCGCATTACCATTGATAACCTTGTAAATTTTATATTTATTTACCAAATGGAATCACGTTTCTATATGTGACAATATATCATTAAGAAATTTTATTGGTTGAATTATGGAAGACAATGTCATGCAAATTTTCCATGATTGCTATTTTACAAGTATATTTTCTGCCACTTGTCGCGTGACTTTTGGGACACCCTGTACATTAAGAAAAAAATAGAACAAAAACTCTTTTCTTTGTTTTTCTAAAATAAATCGGAACACATGGCCGTTTTGTTTTTCAGCGTTCTTATTTTTGGTTTCATGTTCGTGTCCATTGCAAATAAGGACTCCTTTGTCCTACGCTTGTTATTTAAACAAATAGGAAGGGTAGAAAATAATTTTTTAAATACTATTCTTTGCCCAGTACAAGGCTCAAAAGCCACACAAAGCAGAGAGTTACTAAATAAGGTCTTTGTAAGAGCAAAGTACAAAGAAAGGGGGCAAAAGGTGCATATTCTGAGGATATGTAGTATAGATAACGGTTGACCGTAGAAGCGATTAGCATTACTGTGATCGGGGAAGCATCCTTTCAAGAACCTGTTCGACAACGTAACTATTCTGGTAAAGAAACTGTCTGAGTAGAACTTCTTCCTTACTAATGGAATACGAAGAGGATAAGGATGTGTCGACTCTTTCAATTTCCAAAAAAATAATAAACGGAGGAGATCAAATAAAATAATGGGAGTGTCTTAATATTCAAAATTTTAATTCGAGAGACAAGTGTAGGTTTCTTGAACGAAGGAAATAGTTGTATGACCTTTTTATTTTAAACTACTAAAATTATTATTTCAAACATTATTTTCACTAGTATCTTTATCTTTCTTGTTTTTTATCACAGCATTCCGACAGATATGTTCTTTTACCTTCTTCGGGTGGATATTACATCCGATGGTCTTTATTTGTTTTGCTATGTTTGCTTGTTTAACGGAATATCAACTTATGGGCCATTTAATGCCGCAATGTAATTTTCTAGGAAGCTTTGAAGTAATAAAAATATGTTATTCTGCTTTCACAGTTGAATACATGGTATATAATACTCAGCTTTTGTGCCTATACATGTTTGTGTAGACATAATTACTAGAGACGGTGATATGTGTGATTTATGTTGTAATTTTGGTAAAGTTATATTTTGGAATACAGTTTGATTTCTTTAATAAATTGTAGGATATTATATGGATTAATGTCATGAAAGAATTATTTCATGCTGTTGTTTAGTTGGTTGGCTGGTTGATTTTGGTTAGCAGCGTATCAACACCTCTATGGGTTATTTAATGCCGAAATCTAATTATTTTGAACGCAATCGTATGCCATCAATTACAGATAAAATTTATTGATGGTCATTTTACTAGAAATAGGTATTGTTGATAATTTTATAGAAAAAAATGTATAGCTTGCATGTTTACGACAAAAGTGTATTTTTATACCTTCGTTGTGTTTTGGAGGTTCCCTATTTGTCCATAATTGGGATCCTAACAGGTGTTACCACCTCAGGTCAGGGTGGACTCGGGAAAAGTAGCAATTAAAAGGTGATTCCAAGCCCCTCAAAACCTGCAAAATCTCTCATTCAGAGGCCAATGATCTTTAGGATTCGTTTGGTGCTTTTGTCGCCTTACACCTTCCTTGGGCGTCCAAGACGCCCAATACCGCGGCTGAACGATGAAGTGATCGCTTCAATCCAGGTCCTACCTTATCCCACGTTGTGATTTGCTTTGGTCATAAGGCGGCCAAGATCGAATCGTCGTCAGGTATCTTCGCATTGGGCTGGTTCGAAGACGCAAATAAAGAAAATAATACACGAATAAATTGAAAAAAGTAATACTATTTTATTATCAAGTCCTTCGTACAGTAATTGATTCATTGTTAAATCCAATAGTTCGCATGCAAAAATTATCAGCCCAACCCGCTTCTAACTCGGACGTGACTCTTTGTTGACTTGGTAATCTCGTGTGGTGTCCCTCGTTTGGTGGCTGGAACTCTCTCTCTCTCTCCCTCTCTCTCTCTCTCTCTCGCTTCGGGACATTCGTATTTATTGATGTTCCCCTAAACTGGCGCGGGAACGACGCAATTGGAGAATTCGGTGCCCCCCTACCCCCACGGCTGTCATCTCCATTCTCTGGGTCCTGAGAATTAAATTACTTCATAATTTCGGGAAATTCCCCTCTTCCACGGGTGATGGTTACAGGTATTACTCCGCAACTTAACTTCCACTTTCTCTTATTACCATCTCCCACTAATGCTCCTCAGTGTGCATGGGTAGCGCCTCAATCCTTCCTTGATGTCTGATCTGCACCTACCACTTTGGTTACTCTCCGACTAAGAGTTGTTGACTGCCTTGGGTTAAAGATAAAAGAAAGATTAATTCTAACTTCGTTATTTACGCAGAAATAAAAGCTTTCCACCCATGTGTTCTATTGTCCAAAACTGACACACAATACAGCTGGCTGCCTATACCCCTTCGATTTATCCCAGAGATCACTCTCCAGGAGAATTCTTATCCCTAAATTATGATTTTATATTCCATTCACTTTTCTCTTTTATTTTCACAGATCATATTTATAGCTGAATATCATCAACGTATCTTACCCTATGACCTGTCGTAGTTGAATGTCGTTCTCTCTACCAGCCACCTTGTTCTCAGTCCCTTTTAAAAATCAAAATCTTCCATCTTTTCCACGGGGTTTTATTGCTATGCCGTTCGAGCTATTCATAAACCCTTCTTATTGTTTACCAGTAACAAATAGTGTCACTCGTCTTCTTTATACTAATCTGAAAAGAAAGTGTGAAAAAAAACATAATCACACAACATTCGAAAACATTTCACATAAAATCCCAGAATCTTTTAAAAAAGTAATTAACATGTTTGTCTTCTGGTTTATTGCAGTGAATGCAATCCTCACTGGACACCACATTTCTGTGACCTTGTGCTAGGTTAAGCCACACTAAGGAAACCTAAAATCTAATTCATTTTTTGTACCTGTCAAACAATAAAAAATAATTACTTCAACAGACAATTTAATTACACCTGAAAAAAAGATTCATCTGAAAAAAGATGAGTTGATCAAAAAAGACTCAGTTTTCAAGTTGCAATGAAAATGTCCTCTTTATTTTGTTTTGTATTTATTTATTTATATATTAATATTAGTAGTAGTTTTATCATTAATATTTCCTTTGATTTTTATTGTATACTCATTTCATTCCGGGTCCCAACCAGAGACCTAACGTCAGAAGTGACATTTTCCACTGAGCATTTTTTTGTAAAAAGAAACAAGCCCCTAAACTCCTAAGACCACATAATTTTACATAGATCGTAATGTATGAGTTGTATTTGTGAGTACAATTTTTTTTTATTTCTTTAAGGCTTGGCTTAACAGGGATCCCTTCAATGCGCCAAGAGTCTTTTCCAATCAAACCGAGTGCTCCAAATACAACTGGAATTACTGATGTCCTCATGTGCCACGTTTTTTTCTTTGATTGTAGTATAACGTACCTCAGTTGTATAAACGTACCCCAGTTGCATAAACGTACCTCAGTTGCATGCGTCTTCTCTACATCAATGTTTTTTTTTCAATTTTTCTACCTTTCTATTTTTAGTGACTGGATTCACACTGTGGGGAGCTGTCGTAACAGTTGGAGCTGTGTGCACATTTTACACTTCTCTGGTTAGTCATACGTTTTCCACATTATTGCGTTTTATCAAAAATTTTGTTTTCAGTGCAAAGGGCCAATTTTGCTCCCACATAATTTGGGAGACACAAACTGCAAAGATGAGGAATACTACAAATTCCAAAACTATTTTTATTTCTTTTTGGTCCATCTGGGTGCCATAAACCTACAATGCTTAAAGCTTAAGCGTATCATAATTTTGTCTAGAACCTCTGTATTATTCATCAGAGTTTCTTACATAAGGTGATGGTTAACAAGTTAGCCTAGCAAACTATTATGACCAGGTGCCAGATTGTCAGTTTGTAAATGGGGCCCCGTTGTAGCGTAATCGTAAACAGATTAATCTCGCAAATAATTTGCTAGTGTATAGGGTCCAACCCTCATTGGGTACCCCATACGTATATGAAAAACTTGTTGGTAGGTTAAGAGATCTTGTATTTTTCAACAGCATTTATGATCTGTAATAAAATAGGATTCCTGATACTAATTTTCAAGGCAGGTAAGGTTTATCCATTTAGAAGACTGACGCAACACAATCTTACTGTATGTAACCATTTAGCTTTGAGTTATTTTCAACTTGAGCGATGGTTAGCTAATTAATCTTCAAGACTAATTTGCTGTGAAGTTGATCCTCACTGGGTGTCCAATATTGTAACCTCGTGCCAAACACAGTTAAGCTAAATAAATAAGAATTATTTAACTGAAATCATTATCACTGAATTTTAGAGAATTTTGATCAGGAGGAGGCGATTTCAAATGTTCCTACCAGGTCGACACGAAGGTAGTTGCCCAGAGGATGGATGAAGTGGTAATCTGTTGGCGTAAGGTCCGGCGAATAAGGTGGGTGGTACAATGCCTCTCAGCCAAGTGGTCGTATGGCGTCCCTGGCCTTCTGCGCCACATGACGGCTAGCATTGTCGTGGAGGAACATTACAAGGTTGCGATTAACTAATATTGGCTCCTGCTTCAGTGCTTATTGTGCCCGTTCTAACTGCTGGTAGAAGAGACACGAAGTAATGGTTTTAGGCGACCAGATACAGCACATGATCATGAGTGGGTGTAGAGATGGTCTTGTTGGTAACAGCTAATATCTGGCACGCTTGGGAGTGTCATACAAGATCCGCTTTTCGTCACTGGTGAGCACTCGATCAAATATGGGCATATATAGAAAGCGACGAGAAACAGGCTGTCACTTGTTGTTTGTTGGCTTCCGACAGTGTGTGTGGGGTACACCCTCAACATGTACGCCTTCCCTTATGTGTGATACAGACAAAGTCTGACTGTTTCATCAGAATCCAGGAAGCGTTCGGCAAAAGCTCACCACATGTTTGGCTGCTGTTTTCCTCTATGGTCACTTTCAGGGTGTCATCATCTACGACCTGTGGCCTGCCTATGTGGAGTTCATGAGAAAGGGACAGATCTTCAGACATGATCTTCTGGAAACAATGCTTGGCGGTGCGTTCACTCACAGCGTTAACCCCAAAGACTTGATATATTCGGCGACTTTGTGGTGAATAGGAAGAAAAAAATAACTCTTTTCTTCACTGTTTTCAAATTCGCGAGTCTGTGCTAAAATTTATTTTCATCACTAGAAAAAGGGATCGGCTCCGGACCGAAGAAAAGAATAAGGCAAAGTATAACGAACCTTTGTGAAAATTAATTTTGACCAATGGAAAAGGAAGCGGATTATACACTGATAAAAAAGTAACGAGCCGATGTGAAATCGCCCTTTGATATAAATAGGCAGAGAAAGTTGAATCAAGTGAGAGAGGCAGAGAGAGAGAGAGGGGCACAGAGAGGGGGCACAGAGAAAGAGGCAGAATGCGAGAGAGGGGCACAGACAGAGAGAGAGGCACAGAGAGGGAGGCACAGAGAGAGAGGCACAGGGAGCGAGAGAGGGGGCAGAGAGAGAGAGAGAGAAAGAGAGAGGTAGAGAGAAAGAGAGAGGGAGAGAGAAAAGGCAGAAAGAAGCAGAGTTCTACGTGTCTGAATAACGCCGGTGATGGATAATGTCTCAGATTGAAGAATCAGAGAGCCGAGTTCGAATTCCAGTCGAATCCATTACATTCACTTACGTGCTAATACCCTTGGGAAAGATATGAATCCTCTTCTTCTCCCCCCAGCTATGGGTAAATAGCAGGACAGATCGGGTTCTATAGCAATGGATGGCAACTGGTCTACTGCAGAAAGAATTGTCAACCTACCACGGGAAAAAATCTGCTTCGTCAGTTATGTATCGAAAGTTACATGATCGCCTAAGCGTGTATTACACATGGCACACAACTGATTGACTGTCAAATTACACGCTGATACATTATCAACCTCTAAGCAGAGGACAATTTCAAAGAAACTCTATTCAACTCCAAAGCTAAGTATCTTAGAATATATCTTTTCATTCATGTTGAATACAACTGCATAACTTTTATGTGACAAACGAAATCTCTCAATTTGTTTTAAACATTTTAGAATATTACTTTGTGTCGGATGATTTAATCTGAACATTTTCTCTTCTTGACAATTCATTGAAACTACAAACTTTAAACATTTGATTCCTTTTCCTGAAACAAGCTACTGACAACTTCAAATGTGTAAATTTGTAAATAAATTCCTTCTCTTGTTTTGTTAAATATAACATGTGTGTTTCTTTGTCATTTTCCCTCAATACTTCAACTTGATGTAAGTGCAGACAATCAAACCTCAGTCGTAAACCAGGCAACCCCGAACGAGTTGTTTCGACAGCGTTATATTTCGTCGTCGCTGCTCGAGCTATGACTACTGTGTATGTGCAAAGTACCTGCATTGGCCAAGAGCAAAGCCTCCACCCGAATACTTTTCCAACACGTGACGCACTCATTTGTGTATCAGTGATCACTTCTTCCCACAAGACATATAAAATGGCAAAGATTTCTTCGTTTCCTTAACATTTACGTCTCTGTTGCTATTGGTTTCGATCTATCTACTCTTCAGCCTTCCTTTGTTTCATATATCTTAATACCGTTTTGGAATTATTTCTGTATTCTTTTCGGATCGGTATTTTCTGCTCTGTTGACAGGAATTCAACGAAAAAAAATATTTTTGTTCCCTACCCATTTTGCGAAGAAGTTGTGACATATTTTTTGCATCTCAAAGAGAATTTTCCAAAAACTATCAAAAGTTTAGATTTTGACGAGATTACATTGTGCCTAGTCCACATCCAAATCATCGCCCATTAAAAAAGAAATGGAAACGGAAGTTCTTTTCTGAAGATCAAAAATGCGTTGGTGTCGTAATTTGCTGAAGAATCTCTGACATCTGGAACTCTGTTACGGCTAACTGAATTCAATCACTGCTGAGTTCCAATGAATGGTCAACTTAGGATTCCTGGTTTACTGTGAATGGTCAATTCATTACACGGTTTAAATAAATTATCAGTACGACAATTTTTGTTCGCAATGAAGATATTTATCTTCTGCGGGAATTGATCCATCATTGTAAATTCTAGACTGACCCTGACGTGAAAGGGTTCCTTTTTGTCTAATTCAAGATTACTCTTCATGCTCGCCAACTTAATACGACCTCTCTGCTGGTCTTTGTTTTGGCCATTGATCTACAATTTAATTATTTACAAACTGATTGAAATTCGCAATTGGTTAACGAAGATTTTACAAATCAACATATTCCTACATGTTTTTATGGCTGAAATGTTTGGAAGACATTCGAGATTGTATATTTTTTTCTTTTTTTGCACCATAACTACTATGTGCTTATAAGTATCACTAGAGGCGACAGGCTGTTTCATGCTGGACGCAATGAAACAGCCTGTCGCCTCTCAGTGTTGACTTCAATTTTCACTTTTATATATATATATATATATATATATGTGTGTGTGTGTGTGTGTGTGTATTCTGTTTATATGTTATTTTTATCGATACAAATATTTAAGTAAATGCTCTGTTTATAATAAACAGTATTAACAACATTTACTGGCCTGAATATCCGAGAAATGTTATAGAAAACCGTCATATGGCCTGACGTGCTATACCATTTAGCTACCGAGTAAGCGTCTAGTTAGCAAGGTTAAATTACTGTTTTTAAACTACAAATTTCCCTTGATTTCTCTCGGACACTCATATCTGCTCGAAGCCTATCTTAACGTAAACAGATGACGTCATATATTATGAAATTGAATAAGTCCGACAATTATTTTAATATATTTTCTGTTTATATATAAAATGAAGCTTTAAAACGATAAAAATACAAAATTTAAGGCTGTAATAATAAAAAATTTAAAGAAAGCCGATGGTCAATATTAAAAACAAAGTATTAATAGTATTATTTTATATAGAAAATTATTAAAACTGTAATTGTACATATCAATCCTTGGTGTTTTTCTTTTTCTCTCTCTTTATATATATATATATATATATATATATATATATATATATATATATATATATATATATATATATTCAGTCACACCCTCTAAAAGTAGGCAAACATTGACCGACCGAAACCAAATTTTGGGGACAAGTTAAAACAGGTAAAGTGGGTGTACAAAGTACAGTTGATTTTACTAGGGTGCATAGCTTAGTAAAATAATTTTTCATTATTTTTTTTAGAAAAATTAATAGTTTTAATATTTAAAAAACAAAATACTCCAACTATTTTAAAAACAATTTATTGATTAAAATTAAAAATAATTATTTAATAAAAATGAAATATTGTTTTTTGCATATATTTTCTTAGAGTTTTTATATATACAAGAATCCATTTTCCAGTTCGCTCTGCCGTTGCGAGAACTACAAACAAATCACAAGAGCAAACGCTTCAAAAAGTTGGAATTTGGCTCCAAAAAGAAATATTTACGCATGGCCAGTTGTATGTTGCATGCTCAAGAGTAAGAAATCCTAATCACTGTTAAAAAGGAATAAAAGAAATTTTCTTAAACAATATTGTTTACTATGATGTATGGTTTTTGTGAGAGTATTATTCCAAACAAATCAACTCATTCAAATCTTATCGATTGGTTTGCGAAATTGAATAAAACGTAGAGTTTGTAAATCTTGACAAAAAATGTTAGCGATAATTTCAACAAAACTAAATACTGTGAGGATTTCAACACACGTCAGCGAGTTGCAAACGAATTCTAGTATATATATATATATATATATATATATATATATATATAATACGTGGTCTGATGATCGTTTAAGACATGAAACTGGCAGTCACCATGCAATGTGATTCCTATGTCTACACATCGTTACTCTCAGCGATAGTGAGCAGTCCCCCCACCATATATCAAATTAAAAAAATATATTAAAATCAGGCCATGCTTTGCGTAGTGAGATCGAATCTCACAGGTGTTCAGTAAACAGACTAAGCTATACTCAGCAACATCATGCGTACACAGTTAAGGTGTAGGTTTGGGTCTCCTATACGCGCCGGATTGAATGACTTTGCCGCATAAGTTTTCCTGGGTACAATACCTAAAATCGCTATTTTGTCGTTAGACAGCGATCAGGGTTCGTCTAGAAGGCCAATAGGGATGTTTGTTATAGGGCCCAAAGAGGATCGATTAAATATCACGAGAATGTTTTACTTTTGATGAACAATCATCTCATTTCTGTCGGAAGCTTAAATTTTATTTTATTTCTCTTCTCAATCTTTTTTTCAATCATTGAAAAGTAAAATAAAGGGGGGGGGCGTAAAAGGTTTTAGAAAATTCCAAAAATGAAAGAACAATGAAGAATACTACAACCACCGATACAGTAAAAAGTAGTTTTATAATTTTTAATTGCAGTTAATGTTTTTTAACTGAAAGAGCTTTTTTCTTTTTCCTCTCTGTAGGGTGGGATGAAGGCCGTCATGTGGACAGATTCGTTCCAAACTATCATGATGATTATAGGTTTATTGATTGTCCTCATCAAAGGCTCCATGGAAGTTGGCGGCTTTGGTAACGCATGGAATCTCGCCAGTGAAAACGGACGTATCAAATTTGGAGAGTAAGTAACAAATGGGAGAGTAAGTAGTGAATTAGATTCCATTCTTTTATATCAGTACAGAAGACTTACGTAACACGTGATTATATCACGGGTCGTATTTATTCCGGCAAATCTTTCATTCTGTTGAGTGATACTGCAAATTGTGTCGATAAAATTGAAACTATAAGCAATATTCTATTTTATTTGTTGTTTACATTATAACATAATCGGCGTTTTGGCTTCTTTTATGGATGCCCACTTACTCTACCGCTACTTCACACCTAGTTTATTTAGATTTATCTATTTTCGGTATTAATACATTTTGAATGACAAAGAATAAAAATTGATTAAATGACGAATTCTACATTGTACCGAAAAGTTGTTTGAGTAAATATTTGCGCCTTAACTGGTGTGTATTAAAAACTAGGAAGAAAGGTATTGTCAGTGGTCAAGAATGAATGTAATGTTACTAACAGGATAGATTTATACATCTTTATGTCATTTAAAAAAAGAAGAAAAAGATTTTTGTGTTTCATTTTTGACATGATGACAAAAAAAAAAGAAAAAAGTGGATTGGCATGGTTTTCATTTAAATCAGATTCATCGATAAACAATTTTTGAAAAGGTTAGATTTATGATTGGGATAGTTACGCATTTCTTACTTTTGGCCTTGTGTAACGTTTTCTGTTTTTACGGAAACATATAGGATGGTCCGAAAGTCTTGTCACCTCGTACATAATATATTTTTTTAATTTCAAATGGCTGACACGAGTACCTACAATTTGGAAGAGAGGGTTAGGGTGACAAGACTTTCGGACCACCCTGTAGTCTCACCTGTCGAGAAGAGAACATAAAGCGGTTGATTGATTGACTTGTTACTTATGAAACTTTGGAGGATTATTTAAGGCGAAACATATTTCGAATTGTAAGATTACTTGTGCAATAAAGTAATCGGGAGTAACCTCCCTTGTTTTATGATTACCTCCCTTTGGAGAACACTTTCGTTTGTAAAGGACTATAAATAATCACTACGCTTGTATCAATTATTCTAAGCAGACTAAAGCTCCCTTAAGCTTTTTCTTGTTCTCTTTTTCTTATTACAAAAAGCGAACAGATTTATTCATATCTTTCCCAAGTGTATTTGCGAATATAACTAACTCGACTGGAATTCGAACTCGGCTCTTCAAGGTTTACGGCCATAAGATGTTGAAATATAGTTTCCCGTACGATCACCGAAGTTAAGCAATGTTGAATCTGGTCAGTGCAAAAATTGGTGACCACTTAGAAATACCAGGTACTGTAAGCTCGGATGTGCGGGTGGTGTAATGGATAATGGCTCGGAATTTTTAATCGAAGAGTCGAGTTCCAATTCCAGTTTGGTTCGTTATATTCACTTACGCGCAAATACCATTTGGAAAGACATGAATCCGCATCTTGTCCCTCCAGCTGTGGGTTAATTAGTAAGAATTGTATCTTTATTATCTAAAAAGAAGAGATTCTTATAATATAAACGTATTTACTGGCTTTAAATAACCTACAAAGTGTTGATAAGCCGTAAAAATCGAATCAAGCAAATAGTTGGCTCTTCGATCTCTTATTCCGAAAATCTATCCATCATACCACCACCATATCCACACACTGAAAGAGACAGGTCATAGCATACTCATTTTAATTAAGTCTTCTGTTTATATTGAAATTTCTTTAATGCAGTGCTTCTCAAACTATCTGATATGGCGGACCGACTTTTTTTTTTCTCAATGTGTCACGTGTCTGTAATATTTCGCGGTAATATTAATTTATACCGGAAACAATATATATAATGAATATAATAAAACTTGACTATTTTTTATCTTCCATTTATTTTGCAAAAAATAATTCAATATCAAAACATAAAAAGTAATAAAAAAAAAGGAAGTTTATTAACACAAAAATAAAAATGATATAACCTTAATCTTTACAAATGATTCCTTAGTATGGCCTGGACACTCTCCGTGTACCTGTATCTGATGGTTCACGTACCGGCATCGGTCTGCGGACCACCAATTTGAGTAGCACTGTTTTAGTATACTGCTGACCAAATAAGCCTTTCTTTTCTTCTTTTCTAAAATCATCCAATGAAGTGTTATATTTTGAAATTGTTTCAATGTTTCATATTGGGGTTGTCGTAAAATTAATTTGATTTTCTTTTTCTTTTCCAGAACCAGTCTTGATCCACGCGTCCGTCATACAGTCTGGACATTCCTGATTGGTGGAAGCTTTTTGTGGACGAGTATATATGGAACTAATCAAGCACAAGCTCAGCGAATGTTTTCCTTGCCATCGGTGAAAAAAGCACAAATGTAAGATCGAAATAAGATCGAAGCCAAAAGTTCGGGGAATTTGACCATAAAAAAAATATCGATTTATTCTAATACTTAGTTTCTGCTGTCTCCTTCGAAGACATAGAGCTATGTCATAAAGGGTACTTCTTATAAAGAGCAGCGGTAAAAGTCCTTACTACATTTGGTTCCAATGAACATGCTGTTCAAATTTCGCTACATTATCTACATATAGACAGCGTTTTACATAAGCCACTTATAATTGGTCTTGATTTCTGGAAAATTAAGGAATGAATTCCCAGAAAGATTATTTTCAAGTTCAAACCAGAAAAAAATCTTATTTATTTCCTTTCAGTTTTGGTAAAAAATACTTTTCAAGTGTAGATTAAAATTTGAAACAGTTTTTACTTTTAAAGATGTCGCGCCTCGACAAATATTTCGATTGATTTTATAATTTCTGTCTATCGATTAAAACGAACTTAATTGAATAAATACTTGATGCATAATTATCCCTTCACACAGACACACAGACACACAGACATATATATATATATATATAAAAGTGAACATAGATGTCAACACTTAGAGGCGACAGTCTGTTTCATGCTATATGCAATCGTCAGGCCATGTGGCCTGACGATTGCATCTAACATGGAACAGACTGTCGCCTCTAAGTGTTTACATCTATGTTCACTTTTATATTTACACCCGCTCTATCTCTGATATTGAGCACTTTATCCCATAAATATAGCACACCTTAAGACTATATTTCTTATATATATATATATATATATATATATATATATATATATATATATATATATATATGAAGAAAAAGAAGTTGAAAAAGCAACTGGAGTCTTTGATAATATTTACTGAGATGGCGAGGTGTGCGGCTGAGACATATCATGGCAAAGCCACACATCTCGACTTTTGAACTTTATAGAACTGTGAAACCGGTAAAGTTACTCTAAATATATATTCTTATACACTTCTGGCGCATTTTCAACTTTTTTCCTATATTTTTACCAGTTTAGGATATAAAAACTTAATTCATATATATATATATATATATATATATATATATATATATATATATATATATAACTTTACTACTTTTATATATATATATATATATATAACTTTACTTTCTTACATAATTTCCTTGTTTCTCACCTGGTTTCTTTGCTGCTATAGCCCATAGGAATCACTTCTTACGTCTGTACCGGAGCGCACTTTGACTCTACTCGTAATGAGTGCAAGAGTGTTCTCAATGAATCAAAGTTATTGTTTGTTGATAGAATGAAATCTGGCAGGTTTGGTTTAGAAATTATTGGCGGTTCTGCAAGAGTGTGTTGAGCTACAGCAAATTCTCAATCCCCCCCTTCTATTCAATCAATTCGAAGTCCTAACATCCTCAGTTGATAATATTGGATGCTTTGCTCGGAAATTCTCATCCAACTCAACACACTGATTTTGCCCCTAGACCCGAGGTTGTAATGAGTGAGATGTGCATAACCCAGTCGATGGTATGAGACATCATCTCTAAATTAGACTCTCATAAAGCAAATGGTGGTGACGTGATACCATTCGTAGTCCTAAAGAAATGTACCCTTGAGCTGGCTCCAGTTCTCTCCAAACTGTACAACTATTCCCTCGCCGATTCTTGCTTTTCAGCCAGTTGGAAATCCTCCCCTGTCGTCCCTGTTTTTAAGAACTATGAAGACCCTTCTGATCCATCTAACTACCGTCCAATCACTCTCCTACAATTCTTCAACAAAGTCTTCGAGACCGTAATCAATACTGAAGTAGTTAAGCTCTCTGACAAACAATATGGTTTCCGCTTTGCCTGGTCTACCACTGACGTGCCTACAGTCATAACAATTTGTCTACTAAACTTTTGATAATAACGCCGAAGTTCCTCGAGACTCTATCCCTGGTCCTATACTATTTCTGATCTTCATTAACGATCTTCCTGATGTCATCAATTCTCAAATAGGCATCTATGCAGACGACACTACCATTTATTCCTGTCTCAATAGTAAATTGCTGATAAGGTTAACCTGGCCGTTAGTCTCGAAAACGACCTTCAATCTGTGGTTGATTAGGGCAGGAAATAACTTGTTAATTTTAATGTATCCAATGTCATTTACTCACCATAGAGAAACCTCTCTGTCTCCTAACAGCATGACTGATGCTCAACTCCACGAGAGCGCCTCAATACGCCTTCTTGATCTCACGGTTTCAACTGACCTGAGGTGGAACAACAACATTGAATCAATACTGCATCTCCCACAAGGAAATTTGGTTCCCCGTGTGGCACCAGAATTCCATCCTTCATTTCTAAAAATCTACCATTCGTCCATGCACGGAATACTGTTGCCATATATGGTCTGGTGCTCCTGCTGCTCATCTCGCGGTTCTCGACAAAATCCAAAGATAGATATGCAATGTGATCGTTTCTGACTTGTGGTCTCGACTCCAGTCACTTTCTCACTGACGTAATGTGGCTTCCCTCTGTTTTTTCTATAAATATTTTCATTGTATCTGCTCTGACGGGCTATTTTTACTGGTGTCTCGATGAATTTAAGCGTGCTACTAGGTTGGCATCTCGTTCCCACCCTTTTAATGTCAAAACAGTTAAATATAACCGCCTCTTCTACTCCAACAGCTTCTTGTCTCGTACTTCCCGACATTGTAACTCCCTCCCTCATACTTACTTCCCTGATAACTATAATCTTCAAAAATCTAAATGTAATGTCAATCGACATTAATACCTTGATTCCCGTTCTTTTTATCCTTTCTTCAATCCCCCCCCACATCCCCAGTCTTTTCCTTCAATTTCATACTGTAACCCCCATCCGTACTAGTGGCACTCTAGCCTTGCTTGGTGCAAAACAACTTATATATATATATATATATATATATATATATATATATATATATATATATATATATATATATATATATTCAGACGGATATGGGTTTGTGACCTGTGTTTCACACTTTTGCAATCATCAGACAAACTCTTTTTGTTTGTCTGATGATCTCAAAAAGCGTGAAACCCAGGGTCACTAAACCCATATCCGTTCGACTGAGTATGTTAGCTCTATCACTGATATTGAGCACTTTCCAATAAATAATGTGCATATAAAATATATATATATATATATATATATATATATATATATATATATATATACCCTTATAATAATATATATAATATATAATTCAAGTATGTTCGATTGAATAATCTAGAGATATTATGTCTATTTCTTTATATTTTAATTCTCTAAAATTCAATTTTTCCGTGTCTGTTCCAAAAGATTCAAGAGAAAAGCCGCAGTTATATTATCTATATTATTTTTATTTTCTCAAGTATTTTCAAATCTCATTCAAGATCATCTGCATGGGGTTGAATTTCTAAGACAAAAGTTAATCTAAGTTATGAATATGTGAGCATGAATGCTGTAAAAATATTTTTTTAATTGTAGTTTTTAACAATTATAATATATTATTAGAACTTTGTTGCTATCCTCATAATTTTTTATAAAAAGGATTTCCAGAATTTGAACGTCCGAACATCCAAATTTTCAGCACCCGGTAAGTGTGTACAAAAGATTTTGTTGTTTTTTCTTCTTCCAAACATTGAAAGCGAATATGATTTCTACTTTCAGAGCAATTTGGTTGAACTTCCCTTGTCTTTTAATTATTCTGTATCTGTGCGGCATGATAGGCGTGGTCATGTATGCTTTTTATAGCAAGTGTGACCCAATCACGTTTGGTCTTATCTCAGCCTCTGACCAGGTGAGTTAATTTCATTAGTATGTTCTCTACCTCGTAAGTTAAATCAATCCTGCTAGCCTTTTATCGCTGATGGCATCTCATTGGTTGCAATGGTTGTAATGGTTGGTGGTGAGACAAAAGAATACATTTACTCAGTCATGTCATTTCTTGACTCCCCTGTGTTGATTGTTGTGTTAAATGCCATCAAATATAGTAAAAGAATCTATAACTCTTAATCGAGCTCACTTCTCAGTTAGCCATTACGGCATGCCATGGTTGAGATCTTTTAATATACTTGGCTCTTGATACAAAACACAGGGGTGTTTCTTGCCTTTGCAGAGCTGCAAAGTCAATTTCGGGAACTAGCATGTCAAGAACTGAATATCTAACTCTAATTGTTAGGATAGAAGTAATAAAGAATAAAAAAGAAGTAATTTTTTTTATTTATTAATCCAAGAGATTTTGTCACTTTAAAAGTTATTTTTAGTTGATTGATACTCCTATTTGAGTAGACGTGCCAAGGACGCATCTTTTCTTTAATAAAAACTCTCGAATATTCAGGCCGGTAGACGAAAAATAAATCTACCGTTTAATAAATAAACGGGGCGTCTACTCAAACATGGGTATCCACTAAAATATAATGTTTAAAGTGACAAAATAAAGAAAAATGAAAAACATGCCAGGAAAATTCCATGTATGATATTTATTATAGAACGTCCATTAAGATCGCTAATCACGTCGCAAGTCATTCACTATCGTAGTGTGCTTGTTCCTCACTAGGTGACCTGATATTGTGCTCTTGTAGCAGATTAAACTAAGCTTAAGAAATATCGAAAGGTAACACCACATTTCTTTACCGACAGGGATAAGGTTAACGAGTAAATCTATTGGAACATGAAACTGGCCGGACAATCACATTTTGGCGTGTGGAGGCTTATATACTCAAGGTAATTTAACACCCCATTCAATTTTATTTCCAAAGATTGACCTCCTCAAGTGACCTGGAACTGAACTAAAACAAAATTTCCTACTTACGATAGCAGTACAGGGAGGGTTTTTCCAGCATCTTTTTCCTCCTTATTATGTACACGTTTCACTTGAGGTTTGGGTTGACTTTAATCCCAATAGGCGTTCAATGTATGCGGTCTCCCTGAGAAACCAGCAGTTGATCGCGATAGGCGAAGATTCGGGGTCTGCTTGGTGATGATGGTACGTGACAAGTTTTGTTTTCGATGTATCAATTGGGACAAGCTAGTATTCCCTGAGCTGTTAGAGCTAGGTCAAAGGAGGTCATCATCTAGATTTTTGTAGGTGCATCCATATATATACCGTTGTATCATCAACATAGATATTCACAAAAGATCGGAGTATACTCTTAGGCGTATATTTATGTAAAGCAGAAAGAGAGTCTGTCTATATTTCTGAGATGAGGTATTATGCTCACGGAGTTGACTTGATTCCAAAATGTTATGATATGTTGCTCTACGGCCTCTGGCAGTAAAGTAGTAAAAGTTGGACACACGTTCGTATTTATTATATTGATGTCTCACTAAGAATGCTTATATTGCTTATAAATTTCATTTATATGGACTTTAATTTATGGAGATTATAATCTGAGATGAAATAGACAGTTTCAAGAATCTTGCATTCAAGATCGAGATAATCTGCAAAATCTGTGATTTCAGATTGTCGATTATTTCTTGCTTCTTTAAGGGAAACCCTGATGGCTTATGAAGTATTTAATTTTCTCCGACCACGATAAACATTGAACATTAAATTATTGTGAAGTTAATTTTCGTATATTTTAGAACTGCCTAAACTATATTTATATTATATTTTCGTAGCCTCGTTCTGATTAGGTACTGATCGTTCGTTTCAGATGGTTCCGCTCTTTGTGATGGACACGTTAAGTCATCTACCAGGAATTCCAGGAATGTTCTTGGCTTCGATATTTAGTGGAACCCTTAGGTAAGTGTATTCTTATTTCTTGTTCCTATTCCGGTCCAACATAACGATTATCCATACATTTTTTCAAATTCATATCTTAAAGCAAACGAATTTTGTAAATTAATTGAAAAACAAAAAAAAAAAACATCTAGATTCAGGGGGAGATAACTCAGAATGTGGAATTAGAAATAATCTCATCCATCAAAAAAAAAAAAAAAAAATCCCGAAAAAAAAGTGGAATGTTAATATGAAATATTTCGATCTCTATTGGGTGCTTCTCTTCTGCAGCCTTGCAACTGACTAGTTTAAGAGAATCTGCTTTATGACAATATCTTCTTTGGAGTTTAGTTCTTATCAAGCTCGCCATATTGTGGCTTCATAGGCTAACCCCAGTAAATAAATATTTACTAAATGTATATTTATGTGGGTGGAAGAGTGTATTGCATCAATCTAATTTAGGAGGCTAAATTAGATTGATACAATACACAGACACACACATACACTCACACACGCGCTTGCGCTTGCGCGCGCGCGCACACACACACACACACACACACACACACACACTTGACCAATGGAAGCAAACAGCTATCAACCAATCTGGGATTGCTAAAAAATTGATACAATGCTCGTAATATTTCAGACGATTTAATGGAATTTTTAATGGTTTTTAAATGGAAATTTTTAATAGTTTTTAATGGAATTTTTTTAATGGAATTTTTAATACATTTTTTTTAATGGAATTAATTTATTTCTATGGATTTTGTTTATTTAATTTATCGTTTGATTTAACGTTATTAGTTAACCTTTTTCTTTTTATTTTTTTGTAAAGTTTTATGGCCATGCATGGGTTTGTTGGCTTGAGAAAAGAGCCTTTCTCTTAAGAAAGGAGATAGTGCATAGGATAAAATGTTATGCAAGACATCTTATGTTCATAAATAGGTTTCTTTAAATTTTTACAAGTTTGATTAATATATTGTAAGGAACACAGCTGTTAAAGAACGAAAAATGTCCTTAATTAACAATAATTCTGACGCAGACATAAAATAAACTGTAACAGCTATTCCTTACATTATATTGGTGAAACTAGTAGGAATAAAAATAAAAAGATATTGATCCTAACATGAGAATAAAATCTCCGACATAACAATTTAGCCAATACATTAAAAATAATTCGGACTTAAATATGCGGTAGCTAATAAAATAATTTACTTAGACGAAAAGTTTCTGAAAATGCAACTATTGATTTGTGTTAACTTACGCCCTGAATGTTTCCAAATATCTTCTATCTTAAAAGAAATGTTCCTTTCTCAAGTGAATCTCACTTAAAAAATAAATATATAAATAAATAAAAAGTACATAAAAAATAAATAAATATTAATTGCATAAAAAATCAACAACGACAACACTAACTCATTTTCATTTAATAAACGGAAAAAATACGTCACTTAGCGTCCTCCATATTTTACTTTACCCTTACACATTAAGTTTTTAGAATATTTTAGAGCGTTCTCTAATTCAAAATTTGAAAATTTAACGTTATTTTTCAAGGGTTTCAGAGATGGTGAATTGTTGTCTCAGATCAGAAGATTTAAACTGTTGGAATAGTGAGGTTTCTATAATACAAAATACTCGAAAGCATCTCTCATGTCTTGGAAATGAAGTTTTATACTACAAGCCTACTCATGGTGCAACTAGGGGCCAAGACTGGAAGCCTATTTCAAAATGTTTGTTTTTCAGAAATTTTGGGAGATAAATTAAGCAAAATTCGTACAAAATTAATTTTTCATTAATTTTGGAAAAATATTACATCCGCTTTTATTTAATGTATTTTAAAAGGCAAACTAAAATTCCAGAAAACTTTTTGAAATAGGTTTTTGAAAACTTAACAAATTGCTCATAAAAATTAAATTTAAGAATAAGAACTGTGAAAGAAAATTCAACATACTTACTTTTTACTTGTTAAAAACAGAAACACAGATTACGCAAGTAAAAGTTGATCATTAGCGAATTTACTTTTAACATATGTCTATATTTCTGAGATGGGGTATCGTAACTATTTACACTATTTACATCGTTTGGACAGTTGTCCTTATCTTTATTGCCACATTTACGACGTTTCGGCCATTATACGCTCCGGCCTTCTTCGGGTGATATTTGTAGGCATTTCGATCCGAACCCTTCTGTATGATCTTTCCGTCGTTATATACCCAGGCCTTCTTCAGGTGATATACGCTGGAATTTCGAATCGATCCCTTTATTTAGTCCACGGGGGAGTATATTGTTCTAGTTCCACGTGTCATGCCTTTTTGGATATCTCAGTTTTTAGTTAATTCCCTTTAGTAACTCAACATTCCAAGTTTTTCCCTCTGCTATTGAACAACTTTTTGGATCAAGTCACTTTTGGATCACTCACTTTTGGATCACTCACTTTTGGATCACTCACTTTTGGATCACTCACTTTTGGATCACTCAGCTAACGCTTAACAAGGATTTGGAAAGTTGGGTTACGAAGGGGAATTAAGTGAAACTGATATATCTCAAAAAGGCATGGCACATGAAATTAGAGCAAACTACCCCCGTGGATTAAATAAAGGGTTCGGGTCAAAATTCAAACTAATATCACCTGAAGAAGACCGGAGCGTACAACGACCGAAAGGTCATGTTGATTTACTTTTATAATTATTATGAAATCATTCAGAAGAATATTAAATTATCTTTAATTGAAAAATTGTAAATAAACTTCCAAGTGGCGACTATTTTTTAGTGAACTTTAGACAAAACATTTTTTGCAATAAACAAAAAATACCAAGTCCAAAAGAAATAAGCATATCTTGCATTTATTTAAATTAAATTTATTGGAAGTTTAAAAGAAAAAATATTTGAATTTCTTAAGTTGACTACAGCAACAGACTATCGCAAAGCCAAAACGAAACAAAAATGTGTTACAGTGAAATGAGGAGCTTTTGAAATAGGTATCTAATTATGGTCCTTAGTTGCACTATGATTAGGCCTGTAGTATAGAATGGCATTGTCTTGAAAGACATTCTGAAAAATGGTGACAAATATGCACAAATAGGTTGATATTGTCGCCTTTAGTGGAGATTAAACAAACGGAATTCATTGAAGCTTGCAAGATGAGAGACTAATTTTTATTTTTATTAATCTTTCTTCAGCTCAGTAGCTACAGGAATGAATTCTATCTCAGCTGTCATCCTCCAAGACTTCTTGAGACCTTACTGTTTGAAAGGTTTATCGGAGAAGAAAGCAACTCTAGTGTCAAGAATTTTAGGTAAGTGATCACCTCGACTGTATGCACGCACTCTGCAAAAATAGAATTTACACTTCATTGTAGAACGCATGTTTACAAAAAGAAAAAAAAATTAGACAGGCATCCGGGCATCTGGGTAGTAGGTATAGATCAAAAGATTTCTAATATAAGCATAGCTTAGTTTATTTTCAACTGAACTTGTACAACATATTTTCAATATATGATTGAGAAAAAATATTTAATATTGTAGAAATTTGCTTTTACTTTTAGATTAAAACTTCTGTGACACTTTTGACTGGCAAAATAAACAAAGTTGAACTGCTTGATGACTTTTACTGATTCTCAACGTGGGTAATGAGGCCACTTGGGGGCGTTGTGAATTAAAGGTTTATACCTTGTTTACTGTTTAAGATGGAGTTTTCGGTGTCTTCTAAGGGCTAATTCAACTCTGTACTTCTAACGTCTCCGCCTTAAGACTCTGAACTTTTAATTAATATTGAATTATTTGTTTTCTCAATAGGAGTAGACAGGTTTGCCTATTGTCCGGTTCACGCTACTACCAGGTCTTTTGAATACAAGTGGGTTTTTTTACCTTGTTTCCAGTTTAGGATTGGGTTTCCGGTTTCTTGTAAATCATTTTCCTTATGTGCCCATCTACTTCGAGTGGCTCTTGAGCCTTCTACAGGGTGAATATCATTGTAAAAAAAATGAAACGGTAAGTATTCAGGGACATTTTGAAGGTGAGGGCGCTATAATTTGAATAACATCTGAATTCTTTCAAACCGGATTCGGCATCTTAACTTTTTGCTTATTATTTACGTTTTTATACATTTTGATGCAATGGAAAAACTTGCAAGCCAAAGCGCAGCAGCGTCGATGATACGCCATAATGTCCGTTGCTTGACTGTTCCAACAACAGCTTACTTCCGTTGGTACTGTCATAATCCAGCAAAGCACGTGATATTAACTCTTTACTTACTCTTACTCCGTTCCACTTACCAATGTAATGAGGGAACCAATCTCTTCAAATATATAAAAAGGGACTGTTATAGAAATAAAAGATTAAGAACCACTAACTAAACTGCTAGTTTAGCTGTAAATTTTAAAGCTAAAGGGCATTTCTACTAGAAACATTGACGAGCGACATTTCATCTTTCTACTTTTATTTGTTCTTCCATAGAAAAGTGCGTATCATTTGGGCGTGAGAAGAAAAAATATTTACAAGATTTGGCGGGAGAAAACAAATTATGGATAAAAACCAGTGACAATAAAAAGACAACTGAGTGGTTTTCCATGTTAACCGCTTGGGACTTCACCTGGTATTCTGTTTAAGAAATAAGGGGTTTCTACAGTTAGAAAGATTCCAGTTTGTACCATATCGAGTAAGAAAAAAAATTTGTAATCATTACACCCGAAGCAAGACAATAAAGCCACTAAGACGCAAGTGAATACTGAGTGTAGGAGGAGAGAGAACAATAAAAAAAATAATGATTGATATTGCATTTAAATTTTTGAAGATTACAGTTGGCTGGAAAGCAAGAAGCCGGAAGAAAGTTTCACGGCTGATAAGTTCTAAAGAAGATGCTATTAGCATAGAAATTACAGTTCTATCCAGTCAGCTCAACTGTAAAATTATGAGACCTAGTTGCCAACCTAGTACTGCGAAAAGTCGAACAAAGTTTTACAAGAAACAGTAGTTTTAACTCTAACTTGACATATGATGACTTCGGTTACATACACAATAAGACGCATGCAATCACTGACCATAAACTATAGATCATTTAAAAAATAACTTTTACAAGACATTCGTAACTAAAAGTAAGAAAAATTTTACTTGAAAAAATTTAAATCAACTGATGTGACACATCAATTAAAGTTGGAATACAGTTTGAAAGATGAAATATTTTAAAAACAAATGTTTGGGAATAACTTTATTCTTTTAAAACATTGACTTCTAGCGGTCACTTACTAAAAAAAACTGACTTCAGACGTCAACTTTGGCACTAAAAAAGATTTGTGAGTTGATTTCTAGCTTCAACTGAAAACTAAATGTATCAGTGCGGAACCGTATCCAAAAAGTAAGTACAAAAAAATGATACCCAGGGTTTAAAATGAATTGTTGAAAATGAACAATCTTTCTTGGAGCTTTTATTTTAGTTTAATTCCAAGATAATAGATTAAATTTAATATTTCCAATGAGCAAAATACTTTGCTGTATTTCAAACAAATTTAAAGTGATTGGAATTATTTTTTTGATGAAATGTATACATGATGAAAAAATCACATTTTTTAGCAAATCTTTGGCGATAACCTTATTTTAGAGTAAGGTTTGCCCTGTACAAGGCCCGAGGGACACTCGAGGTAGAGAGTTACTCTTATGTAGTTTATATGAATAGGAGGGGAAGATAACGGTTAACTCTTGACTTGAACAGGTTAGGACTGCAGTGATCGGGGGAACATCCTCTTGGGAGTCTGTTCCATAGAGCAGTGGTTTCCAGAAAGAATCTGTTTGAGTGGAACCTACTTCTCGTCGATGGAATACGGAGGATATGTGGATGGTTTTCTATATGTAAATGGCATTGCAAGTCCTAGCCGTGAAAGTCAGACCTGTCGGAAACATGAATGTAGTTCGTTCGAGAAAAAGCAAGAGAGCAATGAGAGGCTCTCCACATCCTGCCTGTGATAGAGAGGTTGGAGGGTAGAAAATCTACTCCAATAAGGACTCAGAAACACTTTTGAACTCTATCAAGACTGGAAAATGAGGACTGGACAACTCCCACCCAAATGTTACAAGAGTACTCCATTTCAGCCCGATCTGGCTCTTATAAAGATAGAGGATAGCATGAGGAGTCAGGTACTTACTGCAGCGGTACAGGGAACCGACCATTTCACCTGCCATCTTTAGTAATGGATCGTATGACGAAAAAGCTAGCAGCATTGAATTAATTTAAGTGGGCGTTTCTTTTTTTTAAGTTGGGCATCCACTAACTCACGTATAGTTTGCAACCACCACTTTTACTTTTTTTATATGTTTGTTGTCTATAAATCAAATAATTAACAGCCCTTATGCTTGTTTCTCCATTGTTGTCTGTCAAAATTCTCTAACTTCGTTGTCATATATGGTCTGGCGACCCTGCTGTTCATCTCGAGATTCTCGATAAAATCTAAAGGTGGATATGCAATATGATCTCTCCTGAATTGGGGTCCCGACTCCAGTCACTTTCTCGCAGACGTAATGTGACTTCACTCTGTCTTTTCTACAAATATTTTCATGGCAACTGTTCTGACGGGCTATTTTCACTGGTGCACCGACTTCATGAATTTAAGCGTGCTACTAGATTGGCATCTTGGTCCCACCCATTCACTGTTCAAACAGTTAAGTGTAACCGCCACTTCTACTCCAACAGCTTCTTCTCTCGCCCTTCCCGACAGTGGAACTCCCTTCCTCTTACTTGCTTCCCTGATAACTATAATCTTCAAAAATTTAAATGTAATGTAAATCGATATCTTCTGATGCTTTGATCCCTGTTCTTCTTTCTATCCTTCTACGTTCTTCTTTTTATCCTTTCCTCAATCCCCCCTCCCTATACCCAGTCTTTTCTCTGACTTTCACTCTCTGTATTAGTGGAACTCCCGCCTTGATTGGCGTGAAATGCTTAAAATAAAATCAATTCATTTACACTTGAAATTACAACACAAGTACTAAATAACAAAAAGCGTCCAAGAATGGAATGTGGAACTCAATATTATTTAGAAGCTATGTCACTAAATTGAGAAGACCCTACATAGAAATCAGACCCTGCAGAGAAATCAGACCCTACAGAGAAATCAGACCCTGCAGAATTTGTGCAAAAGGTAAGACAAGAAACATGGTACTTTTGTCCCGTTTGTGAAGACAAACCACCTTTTTGCGTTGTCGTTCCCCACCCCAACATCACCATTGGAGAAACTAGTTTGAATTTTGCACATTTTTTTTCTGCTGCTTTTCAAATGTGCTTCCTTTTATGTTTTAGATTTTCAATAAGTTTTTCTTATAAAAAGTTTTTTAGTTGCCAGTACGAGTTTTCATTCATGCCTTAGATAATTAGGTACCAGTTAGTTGCGTTAAAAACAAGGGGAAATCCTCGTGACTTTAGCCTCGATGGCAAGACCACAAAAACGAGATAACTCGTGGTCGGCACCATAAAAAAAAAAAAAAAACTGCCAACGACGAAATTTACATTTTCTTTGTTGTGTGTTGGGAATTTTGCTTAGACATCATTTATTTTGTTTTATATTTTCAGCCATCTTTCTTGGTTTACTCTGCCTGGTTATGACTTACGGGGTCTCGAAACTGGGTGGCATTCTTCAGGTAAGACTCCTCTTAAGACATAAGTGACACTATTGTTTCTGTTGGGAGCTAAGAAGAAAGCCTTTAGCTTTATTCAACATAGAACGTCTGTCTAGATCTCGGAGATGAGGTATTATGATTATTTATATTATTTACATTATTCGAGTTGTTATACTCATCTTCATTACCATTTAGGGTCGTTGTACGCTCCGGCCTTCTTCGGGTGATTGGATTTTCTAGTTCCACGTGCCACGCCTCTTCCGGGTGTCTCAGTTATTTCCCTTTAACTCAACTCTCCAAGTTTTTTGGTTCACCACTGCTGTAGCCTGGTATTGAACTCACAACTCTTTAGGTCTCGTCACTGGATCTAACCAACGCCTTTATCCACTGAAGAAAGCCGGAGCGTACAACGTCTGAAACGTTGTGAAAATGGCAATAAAGATGGGGATAATAGTTCGAATAATATAAAATAATGTGAATCAACATAGAACATTGCTAGGTTGTTAACGTAACACTTCTACAATAAAAACTACGAGTTGTATTTTTAGTGAATAAAATCGAAATAATAGATGGTTTGTCATCATTTTTTTTTAACTAAACAAGATTATAAAATGTCTCTTCCTCATTTGAAACTATCAGGGTGGCTACTATTCTACTATCACTGCCATTTCCGTTTAATAATACAACTCCTAACACAATCTATTCAAGACAGATGTGCTTTGCTATTCATGATATCAATTTTCATTGTTAAGAGAATATGACTTTTAATATTTTGCAAATGTCGTTCAGTATAAGCTTCGTCGGTTATCAAACGCTATTCCCTTTTGTATAAAAACATTTTTTAATAATTTCACTCCAAGTAAGGTGTTGTGTCCATAAAGAAATAAAAATTAATTATAGTGTCAAAAAGAATATAATAAAATAATTATAACAATTATAATGATCATCAATTAACTCTTTCTGAACCAATGAAAATCGACCCTCACTTTATTCCTCTGCCCAAACACACACACAACACAAACATGTGACATACTCACTATCGGACAGGCATCCAACACGGACAGGCCGTCAACACGTGCGTCAACGAAAATTTCGGTTCCTTTTTCTTTTCATGCCATAATAGTAACATTTATAACTTAGCACTTAACAGAAATTCGAGGTAAGAAAACCTCAGACACTTCTTGTATTTTCCAACTAAATTATCTGGACACTCATTACACACATCTATAAAAAAATACATACGAAAAAGATTGTAAGCGTTTTCTGTCGGATTCCAATCCATATTTGATCCACATTTGACCCCAAATTCACAATTTTATTCAATACTAGCAGCATGGCCCGGCGTTGCCCGTGCTTGATTCAAAAATCGTACGACTCATACAGCAATCGCTATCACTTGACTTAAAATATTTTTGACCTTCCTTGCCTTTAAAGGAGAGCCCTTTGCCGTGCTGATGTTGCTACATACCTTACTTCTTGCCTATCTCACACTGCGAATTTTTCTAAGCTCTATACTAACCATTAAATCTGTTACGCAAAAAGAACTAAACAAAATGAAGACAAAACGATCAGCTTTAAAAAGGGACACGTAACTGGAAAAACCGAATGAAAAAAAAAGTTAACAACAAATACTTTTTCACACCCAACCCAGTTCTGCGGAATCAGAATCAACGTTGAGTTTAAGCAAGCGAATGAGCCAATTGGAGTAAAGTTCCATGCAGATTTAAATTTTTCCCACTTGTGACGAATGCAGCTATCGATTTTTTTTGCATGCTACCATGTTAGTTAACATTCGTGTCAGTCAGCTGTTGGCTCTCACTCTGGCCAGTAGAAAATGGCCGCAAACTAAATGAAAACTGCCGTAGAAGAATGAAAAAAACGACTATTTCCACTATCAATGGGATTTGTGAAATGCAAAGTCGGTCTTGGCCTTCCCGCTAACTTGGAGCATGTGCATGTAAATTTTGGTGCAAATCCGTCGAAAATTGCGACTGTGCATTCGTTACACACACACACACACACACACACACACACACACACACACACACACACACACACACACACACACACGTCCTGCCTTTTATAGATAGCGATTTCTGTCTCTTGTTTCTACAACATCACATAACAACCAGATAATAAATAAGACTCATTTTGTTGTTTCCATGTCTTGCTTTTTCTTATTTTTATGAGTATTTTTCTATATATAAATGTTGGGGGCAGCTATAATCATTTATTCAGAGTTTACACTTTCCTACAAAGAGAATAAAGCCACTAAGACGCAAGGAGTTATTGAGTGTGAAAGAATAAGAGAAAAAGAAAATAAATAAAATGACATAAATTAAGAAGACAAAAGATAACGATTGATACAGAATTTAAATTTTTGAATATCAAAGTTGACTTGGAAAGCAAGAAACCAGAAGAGAGTTCCACATGCGAGAAGTGCGAGAGAAGAAACTGTTAGCATAGAACTTAGCGATTTCAACTGTAATTTTGGGAGTTTTTTTTTCTCAGGAGATTAGCATTATCTTGCAATCTGTTATACAAAAAAGTAACTTTTGAGCTGTGATTTCCGCAGTGTTTAAATCTACATTTGGTTTGCTTATACATTTACTCATATATGTACTTTCTTTTATTTCACAAACCTTCCATTGTGATTTTGCAATCTAGTCAATATGCTAATATACTCTAAGTTGACTTTCGTTTGTCAATAATGTTAAATTACCTGCTGAATTTACTTTTTTCTGAGTTTTATTCTTTTAAAGATTTTGATAAACATCAAAATGTCTCATTTTTCACAGTCATGGAGAATTCTGTCAGTAGGAAATTCAATCCTAATTTAATACACAAGTTATAGAATACCAGTTAATTAACTATTGAAAGATTTTGTTTTTGAAATATAAATAAATTTACTTTTGTTCGCTCAAGTTATGACTTTTTTCCAGGTATTTTTTTTTTACACAGTTACCTTTTTTTTTTAAAAAAAAAAACGATTTTTGTTTGCATGTCCAGTTGATTCAATACCATTCGATATGGCTCATTAATAATTTGAATGCAATTTATTTGGCGTTCTGTATCGATCCCTTTTGACAGGCTGCGCTGGCGCTCTACGGTTGTCTTTCTGCCCCGATGTTGGGTGTCTTCTCTTTGGGTATGCTCTTTCCATGGTCCAATAAATGGGTAAGTAAACACTTTTTATATTCTTTTATTTTTTATTTACTTCACTTAATTATTTAGCATCTATCTATATTTACGTCATAAGTTTTCTGGTATTGGGTTTTCAGTTTTTTAAATATCAACCTGATTTGACTTTATGGGGTTTTTATGTCGGTTTTATTTTAGCAGTTTTCGGCAAATTCATTCTACAATCTATTTGAGATATAACATAAGTAAGGAAGAAGAGCAGGACTCTTTTCAAAAGAAAGAAAAATGGGCAAACAAAAAAAATGTCCGCGAATATATCGACCCGCTCATTTTATGCCAATAATGATAGCCACTTAGGCAATTCTAGCAATAATAGCCACAGGCAATTCTAGCAACAATTGCCACTTAGGCAATTCTAGCAACGATAGCCACTTAGGCAATTCTAGTAATGATAGCCACTTAGGCAATATCATTCACAACAACTCGTGTACTACAAGCGATTCCATGTGTATGTACGGGAGTGCTCTTAGATTCCATTCCGAGTAAACACACACACAAGTCTGATATACACATCTGTTTAAAATGATGTACGCCTCTTCCTTCAAATTTTTTACTCTAATGGCACATGTCGGGTAAATAATATCGCGTCCTGGTCACCAATGTAACAGTAAAGAGTTATGGAAGAAAGATTTATTATCCCGTTTGTATTTCCCCTATTATGGGCATTATTTTATCCGTGATATAATAACACTGTAATTCACGGATGGAACAGAACGATTGAAAGAAAAAAGAATGACAAACATGCTTTGTCCTCAGAGAGACTTTTATATACTACAATATACACAAATCTATATATACGTATATGAACATGTCCCACGTGGAAAATAATATATCACATATATCTACACAGCAAAGCAGAGTTCAAGGAGAAACAAGGCCATATATATGTGTCAAGAGAAGCCATGTTTAGGACTCCATTTTTCAAACGGGCCGGATTCATCTATGTACCAGAAGAGGACATAATCTATGAATGGGAAACGGTGAGTCTTATGGTTTTCCCAAATTGAGGACTGCGAGCTGCGGCACCATGGACTTGTAACTTGCCGGGGAGGCAGATTTAGCCTCTGCCATGGCCATGGTTGGGGTGGGAGCTAACGAAAGCAACCTTTTTGGTTCGGCTGCTGTAAAAAATAAATGAAATTGAATGCCGATTTCGTCACTGTATGGAGTAACGTCACTAAGTGTTTCGTCACGTGACCTGTGTGACTTATCTCCCCCAAAGGAAGATAATCGCCTTTTTGTTCTTTTCTACCGAGTCAGATCGAGGGAATAATAATAATAATAATAAATGTGGCACATGGGAATTGTCGATCAGGAAAACGAAATTGACAGAATCTTAAATCTTATAATCGTCTTTATATTGAATAAATTTCAATCTCAACCGAATTTCATATCTAACCTTTTTTTAAACACTTACTTCTCTTTGCTTGTGTATTTTAGCTCAATGTTTTCTGGCACAAGGACACTTCACTCGCATTAAACTTTCTAAAGTAAAATTTTAGAAAGCTTCGATAAATCACCTCAATTTGAAACTACAAAAGCAAGATAAATTATGATACAAAGTCACATGTGACAAATAAGGAGTAAGATTATGTTGCGTCAACTTTTCTGAATAAGAACCTTCAAGCAAAAAAAAGAAAAACAAACTCTTGTAGCTTAATAATCTTTTTTGCATATTAATTTTTGTGTCATGTGTTTTGTGGATTTCAACTCCTGGCACAAGGTCATTATAATAAAGGACTCAACAAAAATCAAATTAAAATAATAGTTTGCTAATGTAAATAAAGTAAATTCTTAACTCTTATTCCGTCAACCGCTCATATATAGTTTGGTATAAGGCCAACTGGAGCGAGTACTATCCCCTCATCCGACCAATTTTTTCCACTTGCGGAAGATTTTCTTAATAAATGGGATTAATCTCTCTTAGAATAAATTTGGATGATAAAGGATTTCAGTTCTTGTAGTTGTCGTAGAACTCCCAGTACAAATCGAATTCACTGTAGCGTACAAGGTGAAACAGGTGACTAATGTTCTGTGGCAGGCGCCTCTGAATCTGAATTTATTATTATTTGCTATCCTTTCCGACTCTGAGATGTTTCAGCTGGATAATAATCATCATCATATCTCAGCTCCTGTCCAGATCTTAGAGACACATTCGATATATGAGCTGCCCCAAACAGTATTGCTACCTACGCACTCCTAATTATTATTATTATTATTAGATTTGATTTGATATCCTCTCCGGTTCTGAGATATTTTCGGCCTAGTGATGATGAGCATATCTCAGCTTAGAGACAGAATACTTCCCTCTGCGCATGAGCTGTTCCAAGCAGCGCTGCCATCTACGGAATCCCAATGATCTTAGGCATCCCGAAGGCGTCCTGCGAGGTAGAAAGGTTTCTGGAATTAGTCCCGAGTGGCCCAAACACAAAAGGAACATTTGAGACATATTTCACTTATTTGTTATACCAGTTATTAGTACTTTTGTAGTTTCGCCTACTCCGCCATCACAAAAGTATCGCTTACGGCAATCAGGATCCATTCATTGCTACTCTTGGCCACAAATGTGATGTCAGGGCGATTTGCGCTCCAAACGTTTGTCAGTCAAGATCATCATATTCTCAGTGACTGACTGTGGTGAATGCTATTATTATTATTATTATTCATTTCCTGATGTGTTCTGATTTCTTTCCGGGTCCCGACCAGAGACCTAAAGTCAGAAAGGGCAACATGATATTTTATATTGAGCAATTGAAAACACACACACACACACATTTTACATAGATAAAGCCTTTCGTAAGGTGTGAGCTGTACTCGTACGAACAAATTATTGTATATCTTTAAGGTATGGGCCAGATTTATTATTATTATTATTATTGTCATTATTATTATTATTGTCATTATTATTATTATTATTATTATTATTATTCCTTTGATTTCTGGTGTAAACTCATTTCTTTCCGGGTCCCGATCAGTCAGAAATAGCATCATAACATTTTCCACTAAGCAACTGAAAACACACACACACACACACACACACACATCAACGTTGAGTTTAAGCAAGCGAATGAGCCAATTGGAGTAAAGTTCCATGCAGATTTAAATTTTTCCCACTTGTGACGAATGCAGCTATCGATTTTTTTTGCATGCTACCATGTTAGTTAACATTCGTGTCAGTCAGCTGTTGGCTCTCACTCTGGCCAGTAGAAAATGGCCGCAAACTAAATGAAAACTGCCGTAGAAGAATGAAAAAAACGACTATTTCCACTATCAATGGGATTTGTGAAATGCAAAGTCGGTCTTGGCCTTCCCGCTAACTTGGAGCATGTGCATGTAAATTTTGGTGCAAATCCGTCGAAAATTGCGACTGTGCATTCGTTACACACACACACACACACACACACACACACACACACACACACACACACACACACTTTACATAGATAAAGCACTTCATAAAAAGTTGGCTGTACACGTGAGAACAATTGTTTGTATTTCATCTTCTTATTTTTTGTATTATTATTATTATTATTATTATTAATCAGTCAGTTTAATAAAAAAAATGTCAAATTCTCTTGGTTTTCCGTGAGAACAAAAAAAAAGGTAAATTTTACAAATGGACAGTTTTATTTTAACAGCTCAATTCAATCTCTATTACAAATTTTCATCCAATGAAATGTAACTAACTGAATGATTCTTGCAATTCAGGGCGCTTACAGTGGAACATTGTCAAGTATTGCGATAATGACGTGGGTTTCTGTGTCACATTATGAATCCAAAATAAAACCGCCAATGTCTCCGATCAGTGTCGAACAGTGCAACTGGAATTTGACCTTAGACAATACCCTTGGACGTTATTCAATAGCAAATGAAACTGAAGAATATATCTACCCGTAAGTATCTTTTTCTTTCAGTTACCTGAAATGAATGACAATGTAACTTCAGATTCTGATTCTAATTCTTATTCTAGCCTTTGTCACTATCGACATCATCTTCAGTTAAGTGAAGATTAAAACGAGACAGCTGGGAGTTTGATTAAAAATATTTAACAGTGCTTGTTGACCTTGAAGTGACATTGACAATCATAAGGTTAAACTTCCTCATTGTCCCAACTTTGCAGCGAGCGGCAAATTCAAAGTGACGTCATAAGCATTAACTTCTCTCGATTGGGTCTCTTATATATATATATATATATATATATATATATATATTCTTATTATTTGCATTCTTATTTGGTCTTAGCTCCGCCGTGGACTACTCGTCAAGGTATTTCTTTAGTTCTGTTCCTTATTACAGTGACATAGGCAAACGATCACAAATTTCAATGCTAAATTTAAGAAAACGAAAAATATGAGTGCATAAAAATCCCTTAATATTGTGGGATTATCCCCACTTTACTGCTAAAGAACTTCATCTAACGACCGCTAGAGAGCGTTGCTGAAGCCGTATATAAAAACTTATAGATGATTGTACATTTCTTGTAATTTCGTTTCTAATTCTTGATTAAGAAAATTTCCACAAACACCAATCCGCAGTCTGTTTGGTTTACTTTATCCCCTAATAACCACCACATAATAACCACCGCATAATAACCATCTAATAACCACCACATAATAACCACCAAATAACCACCACATAATAACCACCGCATAATAACCACCTAATAACAACCACATAATAACCACCACCTAATAACCACCAGATGACCACCACATAATAACCACAACATAATGACCACATAATAACCACCACATAATAACCACCACTATCAAATACCCACTTAATAACCACCACATAATGACCACATAATGACCACATAATAACCACCGCATAATAACCACTTAATAACCACAACATAATGACCACATTATTTGAGGTTATCAAATAATAACCACCACATAATAACCACCTAATAACGACCACATAACATGGTAACTCCGAAATTAATTTTAGATAGTTTGTTAAATCCTATAATTGTCTTCATATTGAACAAATTTCAACTGAATTTCTTATCCAAATTTTTAAAAAAATACTTCTTTTTGTTGAGGATTTTGCTCAACGCTATCTGGTACAAGGCCATTTCTTTAGCAGCAAACGTCCTCAAGTAAAGCATTTACATATTTATTTTAAAACATTTACATATTTATTAAAATATCTTTTTAGTGAAATACGTGTTTTATTGCTTTTAAAGTGCTCGTGTTGTAATAAATGTTCATGAAAACATTCATCATGTAATGAAAGAAAGGTTTCATGCCTTAAGAAGATGATATTTTTAATGCATAAAGTCATGTTCTCGTGAAAATTAAAGCTGTTAGTGTTAACATATTAAGCTGTTAAACATTTCATACGAAAGAAGACACTAAACACGTATTGTAGCAATAACATTGCTCTGGTTGGGCCTATTTTATTTACTTTTTTTTAATTTTTCGATATCCACTCTGGAGAGTGAGATAAAAGGGAGGTAACTTGTGTCATACTGTGTATTTTTTACTTTTTGCTATCGAGTTAGAAAGCACTTTGTTACCATAAGAATTGAAGAAATGCCGTGACATTCTCTTATTATAGGAATTAGGAGTTTATCAGTTGTGGTTGCATTGCTTCTCTTATAGCAACTTCCGTTTTCATCATATATCAGTAATTCATTTTGATGGATATGATTAAACAAGAAAATGCTCACTACAAAGACACAAGAACATAGTATAAACCGTTGATGAAAACAACGGATTTTTATTTTATATTGCTGCCAGAGTCTTGGAAAGAGACACACTTAAATCCTCACCCCCGTCACCAAATATTCATTATATGTCTGTGGAAGTCTGCTGACAAAATCCTGGGAAAGTGGTCGTATTTTGAAAGAATCTAGAAGCAGAAAAAATATGCAACAGAAACCATCACAAATGCAGATTATGCTGACGACATTGCATTTTTTGCAGATAAAATCGCATAGGCTGCATCAATATTGCAGAGATGTTACGGAATGTGAGTGCGTTTGGGTAGAAACATGTCCCCTGCAATATTTATCCCACAACATTTATGGCGGACTCAATGTGAGTCCAAGTAAAAAAATAGGAAACACAAAACAATATAAAACAAACGACAATGAATTGCATTTATTGACAAAAATGGAATTACCCAAAGCTATAATAACGAGAAGGAAATATTTAAACTAGCTATAAGATAATATGTGTTCTTTGGGTGCGTGAAATTTGTGTACGTGATAGATACGTGTGTATATGTGAGTGTGCGAGAAATAAAAGTGTGCGATAGACACGTCTGTGAGAGAGTTCAACAGGTAAAAATAAAGAAAAAAAGAAAGAAAAAAAGAACGAAAAACGAACGCGAGCCTCGCGGCCGCTTTCCCACTCTATACGTACAGCTACATCTGAAAGCCTGTGTGGAAAAAAATGAGAGAAATGCACTTTATTTTATAGGCTTAATGAGCGCCCACTAGTGACAGTTTTTTTTGGGGGGGAGGGATGGCAAAGTCAAGTGAGATAACCCTCACAGTCAATAGAAAGCGACTGAAAGAATCGGTCTTTATGTAAATGCAGGCAAAACATGAGTTTAAATCAACAACGTTCTATTAATTCCCTGTCCGGCAAGTTATTAAAAAATAGTCGATCAATCTATGTGAAAAGTAACATCACTTCCACTGAAAGTGATGTGAATACTGCCATTGGCGAAACTTGTGCCGCAATGGACAAGCTATCAATTGTCCGGAAATCTGCTTTACCTGATAAAATGAAAACATGACTTCTCAGCCAGAACTGTATCTGCCAGGCTATATAACATTGATTAAAAAACGATTGAGAAAGAAGCGAGATAAAACGTACACGTTTTGCATTGAATCTATACTGGAAACAGCCCTCTATAAGAAAGTAGCTCTATAACTGTAATTACCCACCCCAAGACACCCACATGATTAACCCCCACGTTCCATTTTAATCCTCGTCGGCAATACAGAAATGGAGGCTCCGGAACCACGACAAGGACACGCCCATCTCCAGCCAAGGACAGACCAGGACTCCCTCTGATCCCAAGTATTACTGTTAATAGAAACCAGCACCCGGGTGTAATTTTTAATCATTTCACCCCAAGTAAGGTAATAAAGCCACTAAGACGCAAGGGGGGGGGCAAGGGGGTTACTGAGTGTTAGACTGTATGAGAAAAATATTATTAAGGAAAGAGAATGATAAAAGAACCAGAATTATGAAAACAGAAAATGACGATTGAAATTGCATTTAGATTTTTGAAGATCAAAGTTGAATGGGAAACAAAAAGCAGGAAGAGAGTTCCACAAGCGAGAAGTGCGATAGAAAAAAACTGTTAGCATAGAACTTATAAAGTCTATTTCCGGTTTGACTTGAGGCAGAGAATTATTAACTTCCACGAGTCAGGAAATAGTTACAGCACTATTTCAAACCGGTTAGCTATCCCTAGATCTACGGTACAGTCAGTTATAAAAAAAAAAAGAAAGTTTAAACAATTTGGCACAACAGAGAATCTACTTGGGCATAGAAGAAAGCCCAAATTGTCACTGAAAACTGTATCGCGAGGTTAATATGAAGCCAAGAGTTGTTTTGAAAGAAATCGCCAAAAGTTTGGATACGATGTGTATCAGCGTATGTACTCGAACAATACAACGTTTTTTTTTTTTTTTTTTTTTTTTTAAATAGAAATGAGTTGTATGGAAACCGACCACAACGAACCCTTCTTCACAAATCATATCACATTGTTGCTCAGTTGAATTTTGTCAAAAACGGTCTTGGAGAAAGAAAATTGCTTTTAGGAACAAATACTATGGAGTGATGAAACAAAAATTGAGCTTTTTGGATATAAATATCTACAGAAGATTTGGTGCAAGAAAGGTGCAGAAGATTTGGTGCAAGATTTATGTACAGAAGATTTGGTGCAAGATTTGGTGCTTTCCTCCCAAACAACGGCAGTGGCAACATTAAAACATGGAAGCGGCTCAATGATGTTTTGGGGTTGTTTTAGCTCAAGGGGGACTGGACAATTAATTGCAATAAAAGGAATAATGAAATCTGCAGACTATATCAAAATTCTGGATGAAAATCTACATTTATCAGCGCAAAATCTTCATCTAGGTTGGCGATGATCTTCTTCCAGCAAGATAATGATCCCAAACATACGTCTAAATCAGTGATGGTGTGGCTTCAGAAAAAGAAGATTACAGTTCTGCCATGGCCGTCAATGAGTCTGACATGAATCCTATTGAAAATCTATAGCAAGAATTGAAAGTTCGAATAAATCGTCGGTCACCAAAAAACCTTCAGGAATTAGAACGTGTAACCATAGAAGAATAGAAAAAATCCCAGAAAAGACTTGTTCAAATTTCATTAAAATCTTTTGAAAATGATTGCAGCAAGTTATAAAACTGAGAGTCCATGCTATTGTGAAAAATGTTAAATTTTTTTCTATTTTTCATACTGTACGAATAATTTTGCCTTTTCCTATTTTGCATAATTCGCCTGTGAAATGTGTTGTATTTAATCTCTTGTTCTGGAAATTGAGTTTTGTATTGCTTTTTGTGCTTATTAACATATAAAAAAAAACCTGGTATCATACGGAAAGGGAAAAGACAAAATTGATGGGTGAACGAATAATTTCGTCGTTGACTGTACATCTAGCAAATATGTGAAGTGCCGTGATGCCAAACCGAAAATCAACCAGATAAGATGGATGATCATGGAGACTGGAGAGAGAGAATCGTGAGGGTCGTGTGGGTCCGTGCTGTCGGCACGCCCTGGTCAGGAAAACATGACACAAAACCGAATATTTGGAGAAAGGTGTTGGTTTTCACGATTTTGACATTAACTTAGTTTGGGGGTCGGTAAATCTAACAAAACATTATTGTTGTTCCTTTTACGATAAAATCGATTTTATTTTGAATCAATAATCAAATATCCAAAAGTTCACATTCCCTCGACAGAAATTTGAACTAAACTCATTTACAATTTATATATAAGGAAAGGAATAAAAACAATCAATTCATATCTACAATTTAAAATCATTTTTCATGATTTAAAGGTAAAAAAAAAAAAAGAATTTAAAAGTATGTCAGTCTAATCCCTCATGATCTAAGATGATAGAAAATACGTTAACCGGTTGAAGACGATGTAAGGAAAATGTAAAAGAAAGACTAAAATAAAAAATAACAGCGGAGAAATTTACCTTGTCATTTAATGGGGCGGGATAGGTGAAAAAAGGAAATAAGGGCCAATGCGCAATCATTCCCAAACATCTTAAAGTGGCTTAGCAAAAGAAAAACCTCACTATTCTATAATAAATGGAGCTCATCTAATATGCCTTTTTCATAAACGTTAATTTTTCTTAACCAATCACTTTAAGATGTCACTTTTAAGTTAACTCATCTCACACAATCGTGCAACATTCACCCACCTTTCGTCAGAGTCCAAAGACAATTTCTGTCTGATCTACTCTTAATCTCAAGCTGATGTTTAAATTAAGCGATCAGATGATAGGGCGCATTGTGAACTTCTTCCGTTCATGCCAGGAATAATAATGAACACAGAAACATGTGTTTCTTTTTGTCAAGCGACGGGCCGACATAATTACAAACAGAACTGTCTTCGAAAACAAAACAAAAAAAAACAAACTCTCCCTGAAGCCTTTAACAAGCTTATATAACGTACGGACCGCACAATGAAAGAAGGCGTACTCTATAGACGCCGTCATATCAACACAACGGACGGATTCTTGTGTAACAGGTCTTGCTGTGAAAGACATTTTTTTTTACTGACCTTTCGCAGCAAGACATGTTGATTTACAAATCAAGAGAGGAATGCCTCGTTGTTAGTGGGACATTACACTTCGATCACCCAAAGCTGTAAAGAGCAACGTTCCCATCTTATCAGACCAACAACGATGATTAAAGTTTCGTCCTGTTCCAATAAATAATTATAATAAATACTAAATTATCTGTGACTAGAAACCAAAACACTGTTGCCGGGGGGGGGGGAATAGTTCTTCACTGTCCTTTTATTTATTTGTCTCATTTAACGACCCAATCATTCTGCGATATTCTTTTTACAATAACATTGATTTTCTTCGAAATCCTTTATACAAGTCCAAAAATCACGTTCGTTCTTTGTATGGAAAGTCTAACTAAACTTATATTAATAATTTCATGTGGCGAGAGAGTGATTCATAGGCGATAAGGACAAAAAGTTTCTCCTAAAAGTTTCTTTGCCAAAATCTTATGTTTATCTGCAGGGACGATGCAATGCCCACCACCAAATCTATAATAACCACTTCGAATCTATGTTACCCCCAATCTATGATACGGGACCCTCCCACTCTAGTACAATTGACATAGGGTAGTATTCATATAAAATACAAAGTTTTTTGTAATATAGGTGAAGAAGAAAAATTAAAAATAAATACAATGTATCTAAAATACAAATTAGAGATATATCATAATATCATTCCATCTTGAATCAATAATGTTTTGCTGCAATATTCAACATCAACTTGACATTTTTCTTATTAAATAATTGAAGAATTTTAACACAACGTTATGGATAAAAAATTAGTGAATTTTATATCGGGTTTTTCGAGACTCAATATGAGTAAAACAAATTCAAGGATTTGGCGGGAAAAAAACAAAATAACGTCAAAATCCGCGAATATTTGTCAGCCTTTAATCGTCAGTTTAATTTGTAACGTATATAAATGTAGGTAAAAAAAAAGCAAATGTTGATAGGATAGATAGAGTCAATCAGGCTTCAAGAGTGGTAGTACGCAGCGGCCCTGTTGAGGTGGGGAGATAACAAATGGATTCATGTCTTTCCAAAGAATATTAGTGTGAATGTGACTGCAACAAACGAGACCAGGATTGGAACTCAACTTACCCATTCCCCTTTTTTTTAACGCGGGTGACTGTTACGGCATCCATAAATTACTGTTACAGTAAGTTTAATATTTCAGCATTTAATTTTTTCTGTCTCTATTTCTGAGATGAGGTTTTGTAATTATTTACATTATTTACAATTTCGGACTGTTATTTTTGAGATTTTTTTCTTGTTAAAAATTTGAATAATTTTAACACATTCAACATTATAGATGAAAAATAGTGAAATTTATATAGTGTTTTTTTTTTTTTTTTTTTTTCGACATTTAGCATCAGCAAAACAAATTCACAGATTTGTTGGGAAAATATCACGGAGTGACGTTATCTACGAGAATTTTATTGTAAACTAATTATGTACAATAATGGATCATAAGCAATATAGGTGAATAATTCAACTAGAAATATTGAAAATAAATACAATGTATCTTAATACAAATTAGAGACCTGTCATATCATTCCAGCTTAAATAAATCAATAATGTTTTGCGGCAATTTTTAACGTCAACTTGAGATTTTTCTTATTAAATAGTTGAAAAATTTTAACAAAATCAACATCATGGATAAAAAAAATATTGACTTTTAAATAGGTTTCTTTTTTTCTTTTTTTTTTTCGAGACTTAGTATAAACAAAACAAATTCACGGATTTAGACGAAAAAAAATGACAACGGAATGATGACGTCAAATTACACGAACATTTGTCATCCTTGTCAGTTTAATTTGTAACGTAAAAATGTAGGAAGGAAAAAAAAGCAAATGTTAAGATATCAAAGGTCACAAAGCACTACCCGGAGCCCCCAGTCTGACTTGAAAGTTGGCAGAGGGCAACGGGCCCTGGTTACCGGCCTTTAGCAGGTACAAATTCGAATTCATTCAAACCAACAACGATTGGCGGACAAATTCTCTCTACACATCATCATCTTTTTCACTCTGTCGCAAATTTCGAATAGAAAATTCATTTTTGTCGTTTTTTTTTTAGTTTTTTTTTCAAGCTTGTTTTGATAAAGACAGACTCATTGGTATTCGTTTTGTGACATTCCGATACGCTCTTTAGCTACTTATTAAGTACTAAATGTCAAACATTAGTATACGCTTCAGTATTTATCAAACTTTTTTTTTTTTTTTTTTTTCACTTCAGAGCCTCACACTTGGCGAATAACTAAAAGTCTGAGGCACACTTTATATTTTCATAAGGAAAAATAAGTCATGAAATTTGAAAATAAGAAAATAATAAAGAATTCTCCTGATATAAGCATTTATTTTGAAGACATTAAAATAAGCGATTTACACTAATGATGACATCGTTCGGACTGTTTTCCTCATCTTTATTGTCATTCACGACGTTTCGGCCGTTGTACGCTCCGCCCTTCTCCAGGATATGTCTATATTTCTGAGGTGAAGTATTGTAACTATTGTAACTATTGTAACTATTGACATTGTTCGAACTGTTGTCTTCATCCTTACTGCCATATTCACGACGTTTCGGTCGTTGTACACTCCAGCCTTCTTCAGGATGTCTATATTTCTGAGATGAGGTATTATAACTATTTGCAATATTTATATCGTTCGAACTGTTGTCGTCGCGACGTTTGGACCGTTGTTCTCATCTTTATTTCTAGATTCACGACATTTCGGCGTTGTACGCTCCGTCCTTCTTCAGTATATGTCTATATTTCTGAGATGAGGTATTGTAACTATTTACATTATTTACATAGTTTTGACTGATGTCCTCATTTTTATTCTCATATTCACGACGTTTCGGTCGTTGTACGCTCAGGCCTGCTTCAATTGATATACATTGGAATTTCGAACCGAACCTTGTATTTAGTCCACTGGGCAGAATGGATAGAACAATGGATAGAACAATGTCAATAGTGTAAATAGTTACAATACCTCATCTCAGAAATATAGATAGATCCTTAAGAAGGCCGGAGCGTACAACAACCGAAATGTTGTGAATATGACACTAAAGATGGATGCAACAGTCAGAACAATGTAAATAGTCTAAATAGTTACAATATCTCATCTCAAAAATATAGATAGATGCTACAATAATGTTTTCATTTGAAGGGATTTATGAAGAATTTGCTATTTTTTATTAGAGAGTCCGATAATGACAGGTTTAAATTAAAGGATTATCCACTCCTTCTTAAAGATTAAGGAATTTAGCATCCAGACCTGACTTAGACATGGAAGCCATCTACTTGGTATCTCTAGCTTTTCAAAAATAAAGATGTTTTAGATATAAAAATAATTAATAAATTACCCTTCTGTTAACTTGGGGCGCATCTGGTTACCTTTCAAGGCGCATTAGTGTGCTCTCAGACCCCACCGGTCGAGAAACACTGAACTAAGTGGTTTTGTGGGCGTTAGTGAGTGAAGGGTAAAACATTCTACGTTGTTCGAATTTGATTTGTCTTTACGGCTTATCAGTACTTTTAAGGTTATTTAAAACCGAAACATATTTTTGGATTGCAAGAATTTGGTGGGGGATAATAATGATTTTCTGATAAAAGTCTTACTATTTAACCCATAGCTGGGAGGAGAAGAGATTGATTCATACCTTTCCTAAGGATATTTGCACGTAAGTGAATATAACGAACCTGACTGGAATTCGAACTTGACTCTTTGACTTCTCATTCCATTGCACCACCCGCACATCCAAGCTTACAGCACCTAGCATTCCCGAGCGGACACACATCCAGATATTGACCAGGATCAACGTTGCTTAACTTCGGTGATCGGGCGAGAACCAGTGTTTCAATGGGAGATGGCCGTAAGCCAGAACTTAGAAAAACTTTTTTCTCTGAATCCAATTTTCTAAAATGTCGATCAATTTTTTCTCAAGTTTTCTGTATTTTATTACTGAGCTTTTTCAATTCATTCTGAAGTTGCCATATTTTGTTCTTTTCTTCCTCAGGACCGGTCTTGATGGTCTCTACAATGTGTCTTATTTGTGGTACAACGTCTTTGCCGTCTTCATTGTGATTATTGTTGGCATGATTGTCAGTTTTGCTACAGGTGAGTCCAAAATATCTCACGATTTCTCACCTTTTCATACCTTAATAAATACTTTGTTGATTGATCGACAGTCGAATCCTGATATGCTTCGTGTACGTTCGACACCAGTTTTTCAGGAAGAATGAAAAAATAATGAAAAATACTGTGGGAAATTTAGCGACATCCCAGTTGAGTCGTGGCAGATGAAGAAAGGGGTGACAATTGAACAGCTTAAAAGGCGTACTTTATATAAGTAATACATTATACAACGAGAATGAGAATTGATAAAACGTATTCCTTTAGCAGTTAAAATCATGGGATCGAGGATGATTTTAAAATACATTTGTCTATTTTAAATTGATTGAAACACTTATCATATACGCTGTTCATATTCTTCTTCCGATTGCCGCTTGTCCTTGCATCATTCATGTTTGCTCGGAGCCAGCATCGCTTGTTCCTGGAGTAAGCTAAACCACGTCCGTTCAGCACACTGGTCTTGAAGCCGTCTTAGGTTTTGGCACCTAAATTTGGGTTTTACCTATTATTATCAGATAAATGGACCCGTCTCCCTATCAGGTGACCTTATCAACCAAGGGGAGACAACCTATATATTTTATAATTTGGAGACTTCCACTCCTAAAAAAATCATTTTCGTCATGACAAAGAAATGGGTGATTTTGTCTTTTTTTATAATTATTATCAAACAAAAGTAAAATTAATAAAAGAAAGAAGAAATACTAAACGACACATGCCTTTTTACTTTGTTCGTTTTTCGATAACATAAACGAAAATGGTTCCTTCTTTAGAAGAGGAACAGAAAATATTTTTTAAAAAATTACGATTTTTTGACTGATTCTCAAGGGCCGGCGCTAGGGTCTCGCCCCGCCCTGAAACTTTGATACAAGGCCCCCCCTCTTTACTACATGCCAATTTAAAATTTTCCAACCTGGAGGCCACAATCCTTGAGGAAAATGGGGAGGGGGGGGCAGCGCTTTTCTATTAAACTGGCACAAATCAGGGAATTATCTAATTTAAATGAAGATTTCAGTACATATTTATTATTTACTTTCATAATGAATAGTTTTTTTTTATTTTAAAAAAATCTAAGAAAATGTTATTCTTTTTTTGTAATAACCACCAATATTTTCATGACTAAATTTTGCTCTGAAAAAAATGTTTAATCGCCAAATTTACATATCCATAAAGATTAAATGCCGACGCATGTCCACTGAAAAAAATGTTTTACAAAGATTCCAACACAACACAAACGGGATTGTCTTAAAAATTTGCTTCAAAAACAGTATTTCATTTTTCGGGAAAATTTTTCATGTGCTGAAATCTTTAAACATTTTTATTTTTTAAGCGATCATTTTTCATCGTTATCTTTCTAGAAATGTAAAAAATAGGGACTAGAAATTTTATTTTAATTACTAAGTGGACTTCTTGTTAGTATTTCTATTAGTAAAAAAAAATCAGAGAAAAAAATGATTCTACCGAGATATATTCCCTCTTTTAATTGATTTAAAAGAACTGTTCAGAAGGAAAATTACAATTTAAATAGGCATGAAGTCCCCACGTGGTTGATAGATTCGGGGTAGTAAGTAACAACCCTGTCGATTATTATAGTTGATGATTGACAATATAACTTAGGTAAAAATAATAATAAAAGGACAAAAAAGAAAAAAAAAAACTCTGCTGAAACTATCCCTTTTAGGTCTCCAACCTCCTAGGGGGTTTCCGGCGTAGTACGCAACGCACCGGTTATGCAGATGACTGACAATGTAACGTCAGTTTTAAAATAATAAAAAAAAAAATGGCGGATGGCCATAAAACAGTGCTGAAAAAAATGGCAGAGGCCAGAACGGGGCCGCCAAAACGTGATTGTGGGTTTTGGGTGTAAGACGCGCCGGCCCTGTTGATTTTCTCAACATGTAAGTTTGTAAGAAAATCTGGTAAATACAAACGATTTCGTCTTTTTGTCTCGTTTCGACAGTTCGAGTGATTTCTAGCAAAAAATTCCATTTGTTTAAAGTCGTAGAATTCTCTAAGAGTTTGTTTAAATTTCTCTCGTTTCATTTTCAAATACTTTTTTAGGATTTTATTTTTATTTTTAGGATTTTATTATTATTTTTGTCATATTTCAAAATATTTTAAAATATTTTAAATGTTTTGCAAAAAAACGTATTTTGTTTTTTCAATTTTTTATTAAACTTATGAAAATTTCGATGGTCTTCGGCAGGTTTAGGCGATTTTGCAATTCACTTTAGCCTTTGCCTTTGTTCTGTTTTTTATAAAAGGTTTTATTGTAAATATAAACAGGACTGAAATATGGAAAATGTAATAATAAATAACAATTTCAAAAGCAGTCAAATGAAATATTTCATATTTTTAGTCAATTATTTTTCCCTAAATAATTGTTGTTTTAAAAAATATCACCAAATGCATTTCACTATTTTGTAATGCTGTTAAAATATTAAAAGTGGCTGATTTATTAGCTCGATTCTTAAAACTGCCATTTCGCCAAGTAGAAAGAATAGCGTCTTTGTTCCTATTTACTAAGTTTGGCACAAGGCCCATCGAATAACGTCTTTGGGCATTTTTTAAATTTGTTAATTTGTAATGCGCGTAAAAATTTCAGTATTTATTTTGGAAAAATATCTTTCCAGTATTTGAAGTTCTTTTTTTTTTAATTTCCAGGATTTCAAGATCCAAAGCAAGTTGATCCGAAACTCATTTGTCCCATCTTTGACATTTTATGTCCTTATCTCCCCGAAAAATTCAGGGAAAAATTGCATTTTGGAGTGAATCATAAAGATGTGAGTTTTTGTTGTTTAAATAAATTAAACGGTTATTTGTTTCTTCTTGGTGAATTGCTTTGGGATTTGCTAAAAAAAAAAAAAAAAACGTGGGGCGAAGAGGCTTCCTGCCTCTAAAATCAGCATTACAAAACACTAGCTTGACAGCATTGGTAAAATGTCCACCACTTCTCTTCTGCGTCTTTAAAAAAAGAAAGAATTTTTTTTAACTTTCGATGTTTTATTGCTACACTTAACTATTTTATTGAATTTGTTTTTTCTTTGACAAAAACGAAGAAATTGTTCAAAATTGACTGATGTCACCTGAAGAGTGGTACATTAATTCAAGTCATTAATGCAGGCCGGTATATGTGTTGAAAGACAAACACGTGTATCTCCTGAAATACCCAAAACAAACATGGCAGACTCGGGATGTGAGTCCACATAAAGAAATGTAAAGAAACGACAAGAATCTTTATATATATACAAACAATTGATAATTTATTAACAATAAAGAGTTAAAAGTAACAGACAAAGATGTGTGTGTCAAATGAATGTGAAAGCTTTTTGGGTGCAAAGTATGTGTAGTGAATGAGTGTGCATACATGTGTGTATATGTATGTTATTAGTTCATGCGTTTCTCAAAGGGAACATGTTCTTGGTGAAAGATTTACATGGTGACGAGTAAGCGGAAAAAGTAAGAAGGGAGTGGTAAAAAAAATGACCGCAAAGTATTTATAGTCCTGAGAGCGTCCCCCGGTTTTGAAAATTAGGAAGACATCCTGTTCTGAAATAGCTGCGTCAGATTGAGACCTTTATATGTATATTATGAATAGCACGAACCTCATTCAGAAATATACAACCACGTTCTCTGATCGATGGCTAAAAATGGCTTTCAGTAAATGAAGCCTGTAGGTTTTAGCAAGGACCATCCTTTTTTTGAATCTCATAGACTGGCGCTACAGAATCCCAAAGAAATAACAAATATCAAATAACAGAAAAAAAAATCTCACTAGAAAATTTCCAACAAAATCAACAAATAATATGCCATAATAACTACTTTGAATAGAAGGTTACGAAGAAAACTCCCCTCAGCACTGGAAAGAGCGATAACAGTTACTGGACTTGTAAAGTCTAATTTCCCGAAAAACTATTTTAAGAGAAAGATTTTATAAATTTCAACTGATGGTAGCACTGGCAATTTGGTTGATGAATGCTGAATGTTTCATTATAAGGAAACGGCTAACATAACCATTACTATGCCAATCTCTTACAAAGGTCGGACATCTGTGACTAGAAATTGTACGTATAACTTCCAATGAAGATAATAAACTTAAGAATTATGGGCATCCATTAAAAGATTGGGGAAGTTAGGGTATTTTGAAAGTCCAGCACAGCTAAAACTTCAATTTTGCTCATTATTTACATTATTCGGACTATTGTCCTCATCTTTGTCGCCATATTTATCACAACATTTCAGCCATAACCAGGTATTGAACTCAAACTCTGTGAGTGTGTGAGTTCAATACCTAGTTAAGGCAGTGGAGAACTTTCAGAGGGGAATTAAGAGGAGATAACTGATATCCAGTAAACATGGCATGTGGAATTAGAACAGTCTATCCCAGTGAGCGAAATAAAGGGTTCAGTTTGGCATTCCAACCACCTGAAGAAGGCCGGAGCGTACAACTGCCGAAACGTTGTGATAAACATGGCGACAAAGATGAGGATAATAGTCCAAATAATGTAAATAGTGTACATAATACCTCATCTCAGAAATATAGACAGATACTGAAAGGCCGAAACGTTGTAATAAATATGGCGACAAAGATGAAGACAATAGTCCGAATAATGTAAATAGTGTACATAATACCTCATCTCAGAAATATAGACAGATACTGAAAGGCCGAAACGTTGTGATAAACATGGCAACAAAGATGAGGACAATAGTCCGAATAATGTAAATAGTGTACATAATACTTCATCTCAGAAATATAGACAGATACTGAAAGGCCGAAACGTTGTGATAAACATGGCGACAAAGATGAGGACAATAGTCCGAATAATGTAAATAGTGTACATAATACCTCATCTCAGAAATATAGACAGATTCATTTTTGCTATTTATGACTTTTGGAGGCTACTTTTAAAAATAAGCCAAGCCACATATAACAAAGTCAATTGTAGGAAAATTTCCCGGTTACATGTGTGTTTGTGCTTGGCAGTGAGAGTGGAATGAGCAAAACCCAAGGCTCGAAATAACTGTTCAACAGCTTTTATTTCTGGTTGAAAGAGAGTGCAAAATAGTAGTATTTTGCGGGGGAAAAAGTTGGGTTTCCCAGTTAACAAAGTTCATGAGTAGATGTTTTGTATAGATAAATTCCTTCGCTTGTTCCCACAAGGGGAACGAGAAATCTGAATGTGAAACTACTAGGACTCGTACGAGTCATCTGCAGCAAGGGTTTTTTTTCCTTTGGGTAGGTGTCTCGAATGGAGATTTCTCTGCCCGTTCCCACAAGGAATAACCCTACAAGCTAGGCTTGAAGGAGTAGAGGCTGCTGAAAGGGAAAAGGGGAAAAGAGATCTGGCCTTGAAAATAAAGGCCGCTGAAAAGTAGTGGGGAAAGAGAGGCCGAAAAGGCTTCTGTCAGCATTTTATGACTTCTAGAACTTCCGGTTGTACCCTGCTGATTACTTCCTTATAAGGAAACATTCGGTATTCATTGGCCAAATAGCCAGTACTGTTGTTGGTTTTCATTTATAAAATCTTTCTATAAACAATTTTTCAAGAAAATAGGTTTCTCAACACCAGCAATTGTTAACTTTCTTTCCCACATTAATGGGGGTTTCCTTCCTAACCTTTTATTTGATGTCATGTAGAACGTCAATATCTTGATTACCCTATTTTCTGGCTTACAAGACGCACTTTTTTTTTCCTAAAAAATACCCTGAAAAATACGTGTACATCTTCCAAGATGAATGTAAGGAAAGAACAGGCTCAAGTAACCTTGGACGGTCACCTAATTGACTTGACTGATAGGGGTGTGGATTTGTATGTTGAGTCATTAAACTATAATGTTAGCTATCTATCTAATTCAGCCTTTTATATGACGTGACCTCAGCACTTACCTGCTATAAGACTATAAACCTTCCCGGAGCCGAGCCACAAGCTTAAACATGCTCTGTTTACTAGCAGCAGCAGGAGCCTTTCTGCTCTTTACTAGTATGCCATTGCCATACAAACAACATCAGATGAGGGATTAATTTAAACAATATGTAGTGCCAGTATATCAGGGACGTGTTGTGAATGTTTTGTTGTATGAGAGTTACTTTTTTCTTAGAGATTTTTTTCAAATATTAGGGTGCGTCTTCCAAGCTGCAATGTCTTGTAAGCCAGAAAATATGGTATGTTATTATTTTCTCTTCAAGTTGTATGTGATATCCATTTTTAACTGTTGCAATTCCTCAAGCGTTTTTGTTTCTTTTATTTGGTACAGTTCTTTGTTCGTGATTTTGTAGTGCCAGTCCCCAAGGTTTGAAGATATGCAGTCTTCACCAAGACACACAGGCTTGCTGAACAACAAAGATTAGGATATTAGTTTTCGTATAACAGCAATTCATGTCAGGATTTCCGATAATATAAAGAAAATATTGTCTGAAATATCAAAACAACAAAGACGATGATACTAGTCTGAATAAAGGGTGTGGCAGAAATACCCCCCCACATAATGGTAATACATTAGCTAGATGAAAATACCATGTCTTAACATTATATGGGAGGTATTATTGCTACACCCTGTATTGTGGAATCCTTCATTATATTAACTCGTTGACCCTCAAGTATTGTTTACCTTGTTGTCCCAGGGACCCGACACTATAACTTAAATAATCTTGGTACAAGTGACTTTGTTTTAACATTGTTTCATATACGAAGCAGGGATATTATAGGTAGTATTAATTATCTACGACCCACAGGTGTGTCATTCGGTACCGTAGTCCATTTTACAACCCAGTGTCCCATATGGCACACCTGCAGGTTGTTGGAAAATTCCCAATATACAAGTATTATATTGACACTGTCATTTTCTATATTCAAAAATATTTAACTTTTTTTTAAAATTTGGTTCTGGTGTAGCATGAACTCATAAGTAAATCACTCATAGCATATCCCACTCCCATTAATGCTCATAGAAAGTGGGTTTTTTGGGGCCTTGCAGACATACCACCCTGACCCTCTGGTGGGTTGTGTGGGAGCCAACATCCTAAAGGGTGATAAACTATAAAAACAAACCAATCAATTCACACTATATTGATGCCAGTATTTTAATTTTTTAATTAAGGAATTATAATATAAAGAAGATTCATGAAGACATTAAAAAATACACCTGACGAAGGCCAAGTGGCATAACAGCCGAAACGTTGTGATAACAACAACAAAGATGAGGACGATAGTCCGAATGTAAATAGTGTAAATAATGATAATTCAAAGATAAAATAAACATTAGATTTTTATTGTCTGAAATTGCAACTGAGTGATCTACTTAAGTTAAATATCAGTAGAAAATCCATCCAACTTATTCAGGTTGAATTCCTTTCATCAACAAAACCTCAGATGGACAATCAATACCTGGCCTTTTTTTTGTAGCGGAAATTATGATTCACTTGCAGCATCCAATAACATTTAATGGTTTTCCTATTTGAATTTTCTGATTAATCAAAACTCTTAAGTTAACAATTGAATAACCTTTTTGCGAGCTCTACGACTATAAAATATGCGTGGAAATTCCTTTATTGCCATGTTAAATATCTGAGCTTAACAACTTTAACAACGACAGTCATCAATATGAAAGCAGGTCACTATTTAAATAAGCAAAAGGCTATAAAAAGATTTGAAAGTGATAAGTTTTTCCATTTCACTGAAACAGATATTAAAAACATGAGTATGTTATCACGTCTTTCTTTCTGTTCGTCTTTAAAACCAAACAGCACATTTGATATATCTTTTCTTCTGCTTTGTGGGCAGGGACAAGCAAGATATTACATGTCAATCCTCCATAAGAATGGTCCATTCTTTATCTGAGGTAATAGCAGGATGTTATGCATATGCTAAGAAAGACGCAGAATTAAAATATAATGCTTTCAAACATCAATCGATTCTTCAATTTTCTGAAAGGTTTTAGAATTCTACGACTTTTGAGGGTGTTTGGTTTTAATATAAATTACAAATTCTACTCTGGAAGTATGAAGTATTTAACAGACTTATTGAAAATATTTTTTCCTTATTTTGAATCTAATGTATGTATGTGGAATTGTCATATAGGAAGAAAATGAGTAACTACCGACACCAAAGTTCAAGTGTGATTTATAAATATATGTTTTCCACCAGGCGTATAAATAGCGGTGTCAGGCTACTGACTGCAGTGATTATTGAGTGGAACTATCTAGTCGAATCAGTGTGAATTATTGTACGTTGACGCTTTGGGTTTTGGTTTAGGATTTACCAGACAATAAGCTGAGCCACGCTCCTAACAAGGTATTCACTGAAATGGTGAATTATCTTTGGTTGACTTTTACTTCTTTGTTCTTGTTAAGTGTTTATTTGTAGTTGTAATTAAATACTGTTTTATTTTAACATTGAAGTCTTGAGTTATACTTCACTGTACGTCACAAAAGTAATATTGAGAATGACCAACTTTGTACTGGAAAGTGTTTTCGGAACATGTCTTTTATGTTGTTGCAGTAACTTTAATTGATTTTGGTCAAATTATAAACATCTTGGTTCGGAGTTCTCAAACAGATATTTGTTTGTTCCTAAAATAGACTTTTATTAAAGTCAAATTAATATCTCTTGTTTTTGTTTTTATTTACTACCATTGTATTTTTTTTTTTCGTTTTATTTGCAGAAATATGATGATGAGCCAGCAACTACAGACCCAGTTCTGCTTTCAGACAATCCAAAAACTAACAACTCCAGTGCAGACGTCGTATCATAGCAAACTGTAAACACTAAGAAATTGGAATGTTTTGTAAAAATGGAGGGGAAAAATAATGATTTCACTTTCAGAAAGCTTGTGTGTGTGTGTTGGGAGTGTAAAGGCTTTTTAGCTAAAACTGTAGTGCTAGTTTTCATTTTTCTAAAAAATCAAATACTATTTTGTTTTATTTTCCTTGCTTTGAACTGATGTTAGCCAATAACATAGCTGTTATGACAAACTTAGTTTATTACTGGCACAAGGCCATGATTGTGGGGCATCCAGTGAGGAATGAACTCTGTAGTAGTGGTCAACCAAAAGCTCAAAACTATGTTGAATTTATCTTGTGAAAGTAAAATGTCAAAATTTGGATCATATGTGAGAAGGAAAATATATGATAGTAGAACAAAAATCCATCCCCTGGGGCTTCACTCTTTGGATCCTTGTTATTTTTTTATCTTCAACAACAACCATCAAAGTTGGTTCCCTTATGTCATGCCAGACAATTTTTCTCGTCAGAATCCATCTTGCACATAAATCTACCATTTATTCATGCATTGAATACTGCTGCCATATTTGGCTCGGTGCTCCTGCTGTACATCACGAGATTCTAGACAAAATTCAAAGAAGGTTCTGCGATATAATCAGGCCTGTTGCTTTCTCACCAACGTGGCTTGGCTTCCCCTTGGTCTTTTCTAGAAATATTTTCATGGCAATTCTTTTGATGAACTTTCCTTCATATGTTCTATTCTAATAATTTCTTTTCTTGCAATTCTTTCCTGTGGAACTTCCTTCCAATTTCTTGCGTCCCTGACATCTGTGATCTTCAAAAAGTTAAATGCCATGCCAATCACAGTCTTCTATTTTCATGAATCCTGTTCTTTGCCTTCTCACTCTCTTTCACTCCCAGAAACCCTGTGTGTCTTAGTGGCATTATCACCATCTTCTGACTACCTAAAACCTGTTTTTTTATTGTCCTTTCTCCTCACTAATGTCTTCTCATTCTCATTCCCTTCCAGTACCCCCCTCCGTGCATCTTAGTGGCTTTATTGCCTTACTTGGGGTGAAATGATTCAAAGAAAAAAAATTTAAAAAATCTGAAACAGTAATCGGTTTTTTTCTTTGTTTGATCATTCGAAGATGAATAGCTTGCATCACATGGCAAGTGTTATCAGCAGAAGAAAATATTTTCATTTAAGGGGATCAGCTTTGATGGAAACAATGAAAAGTGGAATTCAAACAGAAAATAGCCATTTTATCTTTCTAGAACAGGCAAAAGATATTTGAAAAACAAATTTTTGGAGACCAAATTTTGCCATTTTTGTTTCACATTTTTTATTCTCAGCTCCAAAATTAGATTAGGCTATATTATCTATTTTTACAAGTTATTCATTTTTAAATTGATTTAGTTAATCGATAAGTGACAACAAATGAAATATAAAGAATCGACCCAATTTGAATGACAAATTAATCCACCAAGAAACAATTTAGCATTTCAATCGATACCATAAACTAATTTTTATCCTAATTAAAACAATTTATAAAAATGCAGTAGTTAATGCTGAAGTTTTTTTTTGCATTACTGTAAATGTAGCAATCATTCTGCGATTGCATTCTACACATTATGTAATAATAGATCATTGTGCAAAAGATGAAACAAAAGTCTCAAATGAAATTTTTTGCCCATGTCTAAATATTTCTGTGGATTTAGCAAAACTCGTATAAAGATTTATTGTATCTCATTTATCTTTTAGCTCAATTGATAAAACTGAAAAAGACAATGAAAGGTTTGTCCAGAAAACATTCCGTTAATATTGACATTGTCTTCTGGAATATTTATAAGACACTCGAAAATTTTGATATGTTTTTGCCAATTAGTTGTTGTCGTCAGAAAAATGAAAAAAAAAATCTACATTCACGAGACATTTCTGTCGAAAATAAAATCCATTTTTCTGATGCTTGTTTAATCAGCAAAACATTTCCAAATATGTTTTCCAAATGTACCATTCTGTCAGATTCTCATCCAACCATCATTCATTTTATGCCTTTATATTCAGACAAGGAAATTTGGTTTGATGCTCTTCTGTTTCAAAAATTTCTTTTTATTAACCCGTAACTCTCTAAGGTCGGCAGGGTACCACCTGCATTTCAGTTGCTGTGGCAGTGGTGATTCCTGGGCAAGATGGCCTGACGTAGACCAACCCTCTACAGGCTGGTTTTGAACTCAAAATTTTCCTTCTCCTAGACTGTCCATACCTATGTGGAGAAGAGATGGATTCATACCTTTCTCAAAGGTATTAGCATGTAAGTGAATGTAATGAACTTCAATTAGAATTTCAACTCAGCTCAATTCCTCAATCCGAGCTGCAATCCATTTCTCAACCATACCTTCTCTAAAAATGTCATGAAGCAATAAATGCACATTTGTACGTCTAGCAGCTGCAACATGTTCATAAAAGTTAGTAGGAAAAATGTTCTCCTCTTTCATGACAACTCAAAGCTGCATCATGATCACGAGACCCATAACCCATAAGGGTCATAGGAGCACCACCTGTATTTCAGCTGCTGTGGTAGTGATAACTTCTGGACAAGATAGCCTGATGGAGCTTAACCCTCTCCAGGCTGGTTTTGAATTCAGAGTTTTTCCTTCTCCTAGACTTGTTTCCATTCAAGGCTATAGAACCCAATCTGTTCTGCTATTTACCCATAGCTGATGAGGGGGGGAGATGAACCTCTCTCAAGAGTATTAGCATGTAGGTGAATGTAAATGAACTCGATTGGAATTCAAACACATCCTTCCGGTTCCTCAATCCAAGATGCTATGACTCTACTGTGCCTCCTTAATGTGTGAATTTCAGTTCTTGTTAAGAAATGGCTCCTTCACTGCCTACAACAGTGGGACGAACACATAAATAGTGACCCCCCCACACACAAACCCACATGTCAGATTCATCTCTCTTCTATAGAGAGTCTAAGAAAACAATTTGAAAAATCTCCAATGACTGAAATGGTAAGTAGCTTTATAGAAAAGGGTGGATTGGAAAAGGTTTAGAAAACATCCATGATATTCAAAAGCATTTCACCCACTTTGAGAAACATCTTTCTTGAACCAACAGTTCCTTCTTCAGAAGAGCACATTACCAAGATCTGTGTAGATTCCAACCCCTGAATTTGTGGCAAGGAATACAAGGGCAAGACCAGCTAGCCACTAAAAGTCTTCTTTGTGCTGTGTCCTTTCAGGTTCTGTCTATATTTCTGAGATGAGGTATTATGTACATTATTTACATTATTTGGACTATTGTCCTCATCTTTGTTGCCATATTTATTACAACGTTTCGTCCGTTGTACGCTCCGGCCTTCTTCAGGTGGTTGGAATGTCGAACTGAACCCTTTATTTTGCTCACTGGGGTAGACTGTTCTAGTTCCACGTGCCATGTTTGATGGATGTCAGTTATCAGTTATCTCCTGTTAATTCCCCTCCCCAAGTTCTCCACCACCTTATTATTGAACTCGCACTCTTTGGGCCCTGTCACTGGATCTAACTAACACCTTTATTCACTGTGCCAGGTGTCCTTGAGGACATCTGGGTATGAATTTCTGGGTATTATAAACCTATTGTCTTCAGCAACCATTTTTACCAGTGCTCATATTGCAATTTTGCTGTTATCATTGCATGTTTTTACCAGAGCTCATATTGCAACTATGTTGTTATCATTGCTTTTCTCTGGCACTCCTTATTACTGGTTCCCATATTGTATTTATTTCTATGCTTGGTCGGCTCAGGAGATTTTTGTGGTCTAGCATATGTGCTGATTCCTTAAGTTTACGAATTTTCCAATGGTGTTCCTTGTCTATGATCTCAACATCATCCCACAGAGGACGGTGATCTCCTTCTCTCTCCATATGTGGTCAGCCACGCCTGATTTTTCTACTTCCCTCATGTTACAGCTTTCTGGTATTCTTGAAGCCTTACCTTGAGGGGGGCGGCCTGTCTCTCCTTTATATTCCTTTCCGCAGCTGCACGGGATAGCGTACACACAGCCTTTAGTCATGTTCTCCTCTATGGCGGGGGGGGGGGTCTCACTCGTGAGAGATACCTGCGAAGTGTTGTCACGCTTTTGAAGGTTGTCCTGATGTTATATGAACCGCAGATCCTTTGTATTTTCTCTGATAACCCCTTCACATAAGACAGGCAGACTGTTTTCTGAGTGTTGTTGTCCTCCTCCTCATCCTCTTGTACCCGCCTATCCCAGTTTTTGGGGGCTGCTGCCATGTACCCAGGGTAGTTGTTACGTTGTAGGGTACTACTTTCAGGTTGTTGGTGATCATGGCTCTCCACAATTCCCAATCCTTTGCAGCTCTTGATAAATTTTGTCTTTGTTATCAGCCCTAAATCTTGTTCTGCCATTCATTTACTCAATCTCGTTAGGTAGGGGTTATGCATTGTTTTCCTCTGTCCCTCAGTCAGGCCTGTGAGTATCAAATTTTACAATCCATCCTACCTTCACCGAAGAAATTTCAGCTATCTCTTCCTAATGTTGAGTAGAAATATCCTGTTTTCATTTTCTCTAAAATTTTGTTGTTGCTCATATGTTCCGTCCATTGTATTCTCAGCATCCTTCTGTAGAACCACATTTCTGTTGCTTCGAGTCTCTTCTTCATATGTGAGGAGATTGTCCAGTTTATGTTTGCCATATAGGAGGACTGATATTACATAACAGTTCAGTAAACTTTTCTTGAATTCTAACAAAATTTTTCTGTGAATTCTTTGCTTAGCTTTTACAAGGCATCTTTTGCTATCCCAATGCAATTTCAGTGTTGTACTTTCCAGATATTTAAATTATTGTTTGATGTTGGTATCTTCAATTTGTAATTTTGGCTGACAATCGTGCATTCTTTCTTGTAGTTTCCTTTCTGCTTATCTAATATTGTCAAGATTATTGCCACTAAATAATGGTAGGACTTCTAATTCTCTCAGAATCGCCTTTTTTGCTGTATAGCTTGAATTAGTGAGAAGCCAT